GTTGCACAAAGCATACGTTTTTGCTAAATATTGGACTCGTTCGCATGATCGATCTCAGTCCATTTTTAGCCTTTCTGCGAAAAATGCCGTAAAATGGTTGCACAGGGCTTACGTTTTCGCTAAATATTGGCCACATTCGCATTTATCGATTTCAGTCCAGTTTTCGCCATTCTGCGGAAAAGTCTGAAGTTTGGGCTACATGCCGTAAAATGGTTACACAAGGCATACGTTTTTGGTAAATATTGGCCTCATTCGCATAGATCGATTTCAGTCCATTTTTCAGCATTGTGCGAAAAAGTCGGAGGTTTGGGCCACATGCTGTCAAATGGCTGCACAAAGCATACGTTTTCGCTAAATATTGGACTCATTCGCATAGATCAACTGAAGTCCATTGTTCGCCTTTCTGAGAGAAGGTCTGTAGTTTGGGCCAATGGTCGTAAAATGGTTGCACAAAGCATTCGTTTTGGCTAAATATTGGAGTCATTGGCATATATCGGTTAAAGTCCATTTTTCGCCTTTTTGCGAAAAAGTCTGTAGTTTAAGCCAATGGTCGTAAAATGGTTGCACAAAGCATTCGTTTTGGCTAAATATTGGACTCATTCAAATAGATCGATTTTAGTCCAGTTTTCGCCAAGTTCTGCGAAAAAGTCTGAGGTTTGGGCCACATGCCGTAAAATGGTTCCACAAAGTATACCTTTTTGCTAAATATTGGACTCGTTCGAATAGATCAATTGAAGTCCATTTTTCGCCTTTATGCGAAAGAGTCTGTAGTTTGGGCCACATGCCGTAAAATGGTTACACAAAGCATCGGTTTTGGCCAAAAATAGGACTCATTCGCATAGATCGATTTCAGTCCAGTTTTCTCCATTCTGCGAGAAAGTCAGGTTTGGTTCACATGCCGTAAAATGGTTGCACAAAGCATACGTTTTTGCTAAATATTGGACTCGTTTGCATGAACGATTTGGGTCCATTTTTCGCCTTTCTGCGAAAACGTCTGTAGTTTGGGCTACATGCCGTAAAATGGTTGCACAAAGCATACGTTTTTGCTAAATATTGGACTCGTTCGCATAGATCGATTTCAGTCCATTTTTCGCCTTTCTGCAAAAAAGTCTGAAGTTTGGGCTACATGCCGTAAAATGGTTGTGCAAAGCCTGCGTTTTGGCTATTTCTGTGAAAAAGTCCGCTTTTTGGGCCACATGCCACAAAATGAATGCAGAAATGATGCGTTTGGCTTAAAATTGGACCCCATTCGCATGCATTGATTAAAATGCATTTTTCACATTTGTCCGTGGAAAAATCCGTGGTTTGCGCCACTTTTTTTTAGAATGATTGCAAAAAGGATGTGTTTTGCCTAAACATCGATTGAAGTCAGAGATCGATTGAAGTCAGTTTCTATCATTTCAGCCAAAAAGTCTGTAGTTTGGGCCACACGCCGTAACAAGTGATAGCAAAAAAGAAGCGTTTTGGCAAAACATTGAACTCATTCTCATACATTGATTGAATTCAATTTTTCATATTTCTGCGAAAAAGCTCACAGATTAGCCCACCTACCGTAAAACGATTTCACAAGCATGCGTTTTGGCTTATTATTGTAAACATGGTATCCCAAAATGTCGTGAATCCAAAGCTGACGTATGCACAAATAGCAATCTTGGCGAATTCCTATTCTGATTATGTATCGTGATGACTCAATTTAGCGTCCTCCTTTCAACTTGCGCCCCTGTTCGAATGTGTTTTTGTTAATAAGCTCCCCTATTCCAATAAGCACTCCCTATTCTAGTAAGCGCCCACATCAAAACAAGCGCTGCTATTCTAATAAGCGTCATTCCTTTAAGGATCCTTATTCAGTTCACGCGACAAGGATCCTTTCCACGGGATCATAGAAGGGAAGCTGTCTACAGAACAGCACAACAAAGGCAAACCGGCGTCCTATAGTTGACTGGCCCCGGTACCACCTATGCAAACTTAGTTTGCATTGGTTATTATCATTATTAACTCCCTTGGGATTGTATGAATATCCTATATAATAGATTGCATTGTACCACACCCTGTCAATGCACTTGAGACCGCAATCTGAAGTCATGTTTAGCTTCCCACCCTCGAGTAAGTCGGGTTGAACCTGTTTTGACACCTTTCCTCGGTCTGGTCTTGGCGCGTCCCAGGCCAGAGGGACTCCCCATACCTTAACTACATCTCATGAAAAACAATACAAAGGGGGGAATATTACACTTTGTGCGGCCTTCGAACCAGCCGGAAGAGACATTTCAACACACCAGGTAAACAAAATGCGATTCCGAATTTATCTTGATATTTTCATCTGTTTCAAATATCAAAATTTCATCAGGCAAACAAAAAATATACATCCGCCATTACAAATGAGCAACACATTTTCTGTGCAATTAATTTGGGAGCCTCAGAGTGATATTTGCCGAGTCAAACTTGACACTAGGAAACTTTAAATAGACAGCGTAAAGCAAAACGTACTCCCGTACATACTATCTATGGGGTGTCAGTTGCTGTGAAGGGTGTGGCGCAGTGAATCAGTTTTTTGATCTGAATATGATTTCATTTACTTGGACACTGTCCAGTGGACTGATCAGTAGCCCTGCTGGAATTAATTAACCGAATGAAAAGAACGGTACAGAATAGAAACTTCAATTTAAATTGAATTTCATGTTACCGATGCACACGCACATAGATATGCACGTAATTGTAACAAAGATTTAGTGGACAAAAGCAAGTTTGGGGTAGCCGGTAGGAAAAGAACGGTTGCAAAATTCATCGTATCTTGTTCTAAAACACAATAAAGGGTTTCAGATTCCTAGTAGTACACCCCCGCCCAAACAGTTCTCGAGTATTCCTTCCTACCAACTAAAAAATAAAACATTGTTTAAGCCTTCAGAATGAACATTCAAATTATTTCCTCAGGAATTACAGAAGATTTGAAAAAACGGGTATATTTCTGCTTCAAAAAATTATGGACTAAATAGCTGCAAACAATGTTAATTTGTGATTGCTTCCAACACTTCCAACTTCCCTTGGGTTGGATATTACGCGGTTCTTACTTAAACGAATTTAAAGATAAAGAATGCACACAACACTCCTCAGCTACCAACATAAACGTTTTAATATCGTTATTATTTCCTATTGGAATGCCTTTAGAACCTACAACACTTTCTAGAGTTTAGGTAAAGCGTTTGACATGTTCAGCTTCTAAACTGAAACGTTTCTTCGACTTTTCAATAGGAAGAACTGTTGCCATTGTTGCTTTAATACATGTGACTTTTGTTTTCTGAAGAATTTTACACTAACTTTAACTGAAACTGGTACAGTTAGCCTTATGTAATTACTGCACCTGATTATACAGTTTGCTCATAAACATTCGAATCATGTGAAATTTTACTTTGTTCGAGAGAGATTTCCCATTGGTAAAAAAAATAAATTGCATGTCTAGTTTTAACCGGTGCATCAGTTTTATTATCTCGGTGTTGGAGCTTTTTATCTCAAAATAAATGTTTGTAGTGATTTGTTGTCGAGGCGATTTACATTTTTTCCTGGCGCAACTGCACTCGTCATGAAGCCAAATTTGGGATTTTGTTCAGAGGTTTTGTGTTTTACAATTTGCAACGATTGCTCTGCGTGCAGCAGTTTCTTAAATGCATGTTCGCAAATTTCTCAACAATGACATTGACATGCTCGAAATAAAAAAATAAATTCATTTCAGTTGCTTTAAATTTAGTACAGACTGAAGTGAAAGAATCCTGAGTCTGAGGACCATGTAAACTGACTTGGAAGGCTGAGGAGTTGATCTTCAAAACCTTCCTCATCGCACTACATGCTACCACTCCGGTATAGGCGAGGCTCCTATTGAAAAACTGAGCTTTGGGTTTTGGAACACATACGTTTATCTGGCAGCCTCTAGTTTCATAATGGTTGATATCTCTAACTGGTGTAAAGTTGCGTGCCAGTTTCCGTTAATTAACGAAGGTGACAGAAAAGATGGTCTGCTTGTTCTTAAGCCTCTGCAGCTTCGAGGAGACAAACAAATTTCTACTGGACCTTTAAAGCAAACTTAAGTTTATTGAGTGGATCCCCAAGGATACACATAAGGGGTCATAAAGACTTAACCCTAACAACATAATAAGTAGAAGAGGGACATGGTGGTATAAAATTGGCTGAAATTATATTAGATTAACTGAAATTAAACCTAATTTGTTTATTGAATGCAAAACAGACTTACAAAGGGAAAAAAGCATAAATTATAACAAAAATATTAAGAAAACTTAAATTCAACAACAGAACAATCCCAATTATTACATTACTTGCGAAAAATTTTGGACGGTGTTAATTTCGAACAAAAAAAGTGTCTGAAAATAAACCGTCTGAATTTTTTAAGCGTCCCAAATTTAAAACGTCTGAAAATTTTACAGTATAGCAAACCACGCTGGTAAGCCGAAACAAACCTGATATGATGACAGGAATAGTGAAGGCTGTCACTAAGAAGCTAGAACCAGAAGATCCTTTCCAAATTCTTGTCGTAGACTATTAAACCACTTTGAGCTCCAAAGCTCAAAAACTCTAGATGAGACACTGATTGAAATACTCACATATATCTACATGACAAAATTTGTGTTATTTTCTCATCGTTATATCCGTTAACCCTTAAGGGTGCAGAAAAACTATTTTAAGGCACGTTTTCGCAGCGTTATTCAACATTTGTTGGCTTAAAAATTGCTTTAGCAATGTTTCAGTGAAGTGTCCGAAATCTTTGTCCAAAATGAGAAAAAATGTGTCCGAAAATTAACCATCTGAAATAAAACGTTGAAATTTAAACCTCCGAAAATTTTTGCACGTAATGTAAGTACTATATAGTTGACAACAAAATTGATAGTGACCTCATGGCTTAATAAAGACTACTAACATTATTGCACTAGAAAAAGTACATCTCAAAGTGCTACTCATCCTAGACTAAGTATGTCATGAGACAAAGTAAACAGTGTTTATCTTGACTCACACCTGTTACATTTTTGGACTCTTGGTGCAGAGCACTTTAGCATTGATTCAAATAAATGGGTCCTCGAAGCTTGCCAATTTGCATTAACTGACTCCATTCTTTTTCCCCAATCATTCGCTTGGGAGTCTCTAAGGTCTGTCCAACCATGAAGAAGGTCGTCTGCTTCATTTAGAAGAAATTCATAATTACCTAACAAGGAAAAGATAAAAATTAAAAATAAAATGATATGCAGCCAAAATTAGGTGGAATGTGTGATACAGCAGATTGGGTGAAATAATATAGGTGGCTGTGGTTGATGTTGTTGAATATATATGTTGTTGTGGCGATGTTGCTGTGGTTGAAATAAGGGTGATACATAGCACAATTACATTACTATATGTCAAAAGCCAGTGGGCAATAAAGTTAGTACATTATAAGGTAAAATATATAAACAATGAAGTGGCATTGATGGTGAAAAAAAGGTTATTCCAGTTTTTGCGTGTGATTTGTTGGGCAAGACTTCACAGAAATTCATTTCTTCAAATTAATAAACGACAACAACAATTATTTTACATATACCCACGCGGCAATGTAATATCATCTATAAATATGCATAAACTGATTTGACCGGGTTCTGGCTGTTCAGTTGCAGCAAATGTCAAACTAAACTTATACCCAACTAACGATATAACTAACAATTTTTTGATTAATACCATCTGAATCCTGGTCTGCGCACTGTTCTATGAAAGGCTCACAAGAATCATGCATTTCTTCATCAAGGCCAGTGTCATTTGTACTCTTAGCTCCTAAAAATGCAGTAAAAAGAATTCAGGAAATGTAAAATATATGCGTAAAAAAAGCCCAAGTCACTAAACGCGAAAAGAAAGAGAACACTTTATGACTTTACACGAGGCTAAAACGTCTGGAAACAGTACCAGTACCTACGTACCCTGGCTTTTCCTATTTGGTCTGTATTTCGATTTATAAACTCGTCGGCCAGTTAGAGGATCTCGCCGAAATTCCATGATTGTAGCCTTCTTTTTGGTTTTCTTAACGGCATTTTGATCCAAAAGTTTAGCAAGACCGGCAATAATATCCGCAGATGACTCTTTAATTCCCTTTTTCTTTGGCCTTTTCCTAGATCTGCTCTCATCTTGATCCGCCATTTTGATTCCTTGGGATCCACGCCTCCTTAGCATTGCCTCTTGTTTTACTGATTATTGGTAAAACAAGACTCTGAGCCAGTTACTGATTATTGGTAATTCTAGAATGAGGACATGTTGTGCCGGCAGGGAGAGAATATTCTAGTGCCCAGATCTCCGTCAGGCAAAATTAATTTTGACAGCGCTGGTCGTTAATGAGGGGGGGGCACTGGGGCCTATAAGAAACTGCAAAACCGTAGAAACCAAAAAACCAAAACCAAAAAATCGAAAAAAAATCGATCAAAACCGAAAACCGCATGAAAAACTCTCAAAACCGATATATTTTCACATCCCAGTTATTAAAACCCCGATCGATCTGATACAGTGGTGACAAGCGGAGCATACATAGTAAACTACACTAATTTCATTACAGGATTTATGAATGCCATGGGCTTGGCGTTCATACCTTCTAGTGTCTGCTTAAATTAACAGCTGCTCTCTCGAGGACCTCGAGCGTGATCTCTGCGGACTCAGCAGCTGGTAATGGAGCCTAGTTAAATTAAAGATTGTAATTTTGCAGTTGCAAAAAGCTATAGCTCTGGAAAGTTTCATCGAAAATCCCTAATCTAACGTTTCCATTTGCGAACTAAGACCCGAAAGTTTGGAGATTTGGAGGCCTGTAACTTGGTCACCAACTTCGAGGTGGCGTTGATAAAGAAACCCTAGCAATGTTCCTAAGCTTAGCCGTACCCCCCCACCTTAGGGGGGGAGGGTACGGCTACACGTAGTCTACCTAGGGATCCCTGCGATATTTCAATTAGTCTGTCACGCATTCGTCTCGATAACGTTTGCGTTTGGCTGCTATTCGAGATAATTGGAGGCGCGGAATTGCCACTCAGATCGAAGAGAAACCGAAACCCAAATAGGTCAAATAGGAAAACCAAAAACCGTATTGGACATCAAATCCGAAAACCCGTTAATATTTTTCGCGAAAACCGAAAATCAGATGCTAAAAAACGGAAAATCTGCAAACCACAAGGAACACCAAAACCAGGAAAACCGAAGTTTTTTGGCACAAAAACAGAAAAACCGATCTAAAAAATTGGCCAAAACCGCAAAACCGAAAATCCCAATGCCCCTCTCGTTAATCATGGCTCAAGTTTGAATTATGCAAAAAAAATTTTGTTCAAAAGGAGTTGGAGCCACTGTCATGATTTAATCTAAATCTATGTTAGTAAACTTTTTTTGAGAAAATGTTTGATCAGTCGTACTTAACTATGAACATGGCGGATCCCATGAATCATTACCAGGACTTGCTCATTTTTCTAAATACAAAACACATTAAAAAGGTATCAGGAATACCTCCAGAATAAAAAGTCTCTAAAATAGTCAGCCATCTTAGTCGTCTAATACTTCATGATTCCCAAAACTCAGGACCTACCCTCAGGAATACCCCAGGAAAGAGTGAAACCCTCGCTGATTTGCGAATTACAAAAATCTCAGTTTCACATGGTGCAACCACGGGAGTTCTGGCATATATTAATGTCGTAGGGATGTAATTCCTAATAGCTAAGTCCAATAGACTAACTCGTTAAAAATCTCTTGCCAAAGATCACCCAAGGTGATGATTGGTAATTACTGCAGAGAACACGCTCCTGATCAAGATAGTCTTAGCTGGTTCAGTGTATCGGTTTTTCAATAGTGATTTCTTGGTAATCAGGAGTTTCTGAAATTTTTCCCATAAAAAATTCGTAGAACCGGTGAACCCAGTTATGGGTTCAGAGAGGTACATGTCTTGAACACAGATCTATCAATAGCCCAGCACTGACCACTGTAGGCCATCAAAAAGGTGTCTTCTTTGGTTAGCGCGTTACTTTTCACTGATATGTAAAATCCAGACTTAATTTCAGACTTCTGCTTTAATTGGATTCAGATAGTGTTCTCAATACTACGGGGGCCCATTGAGGACTTGCCACATTTTTTTTATCGCGCGATAAAATCAAAATATCGCGCGGTAAATAGAAATTATCGCGCGATAAATGACACACTTGTTAGGTCTCACGTAATCAGCTGTCACGCACGTTGTTTCCGTGGACTACAATGGCTGCCAGTTGAGGAGGAATGTCTTGAGGTAAATATTTCTTTTTTTTCGTGAAAAGATCCTTGAGCAGTACTTTTCAATACTTCTACGGCACATAGCTCTGTGAACCAGTACAGTAAACCTTGGTTTGCGTAATCTTAAGAGACACTTTCGGAGATGGCCCTAAGTGTCTGAGAACAAGTGTGGATCATCTATTCTCTCTGATTACATTATAGGTTTGTAAATTTCTAGACTGCGAAAGAACTTTCCAACTGTTGCAACCATTGTCGTCGCGTCCACGGAAACAAAGTGCGTGACAGCCGATCGAGTGCGACCCAACAAGTTTCCCAGTTATCGCGCGATAAAAAAAAAATGTGACATGTCCTCTTTGGGCCACCGTACAATACCGAGAATATTCCTGCGTGCTGCAAACCTACCTGCTGTAATCCTACGTTTATGGAGACGAACATCCGTTTTCTTGCAGCAGAATCTGCAAATGACAAAGGAAAGACCAAGAAAGAGACAGCAACAGCGGAAAAGGCCGCGACTGGGTCGCTTCATAGCTTTTTCTCGATATAAATTTTTGTAAGGTTGTTGCGAATGCCAAAAACACCATGCTGTCCTTCGAAAACTTCACGGTTTTTTATTTTCCTTATTCACTGTTTTTTTGATCACGTACCGATTTTCTTTTTTATCACTGACGTGCGACACACCCTAAATCCCAGACAACGACGATATATGAGCTGATTAATTGATTCTATTGTCTAGATTGAAATCGCAAGAAAAGAGATCACATAACGCTAATCACTTATCTAAATGTCACACAATACAGCTGAAATATCTCGACAAGGTAGCAAATTTGAACGAGCTAAGAGCGATTTGACAACAAGAGAGAGGAGTAGGAAGAAAATTTGAGGATTTCTTGCACGTTTCGGCGAGTTAATGCTTTTAAAAGAGTGAAGAGTTTATGACCTGAAACCCATGGAAGTTAATTAGTTCCCGCCTCTTCAATTAACCCGCGGGACATGCGCGCGGGAAGCGCAGCGGAAGTCAAACACAACAGTTTTCAACTCAGTTGAACACCTTTAAACATACTCGAATCTTTCGTTGCTGGTTGTCACGATGGAAGAAAACGGCTTAGAGATCTCAACTATCGAGATGCACACTGGAGGGGAACCACTGAGAATAATCGCTTCTGGTTTCCCTGAGATTAAAGGAGACACCATTCTAGACAAAAGACGGTACGTTCGAGAAAACCTTGATCATCTTCGCAAGCTCTTGATGTTTGAACCTCGCGGACATTATGACATGTATGGCGCTGTGATCGTCCAACCACACAGCGAAATGGCCGATTTGGGGGTGATTTTCATGCATAACGAAGGATACAGCACCATGTGTGGCCACGCTGTCATAGCACTCGGTCGCTACGCTGTCGACTCGGGCCTCCTCAGTACGGACGTATCGCGCTCGAGTGTGGGTGAAGTACCTGTCTTCATCGAGTGTCCTTGCGGCGTGGTAAAAGCCCTGGTCGATATAGAAGAAGGCAAATCGGGCCGTGTTCGTTTTGTTTCTGTTCCAGCTTTTGCTTTTGGACTTGATGTGGAGATAAACACGGAGAAGTTTGGCCAAGTAAAAGTTGACATTGGATTTGGGGGAGCGTTCTACGCCATAGTCCCCGCGCATCGTTTGGGTGTTGATGTGCGTTCGTCGCGACTCGCTGATATCGTGGAAGCTGCTAATGCGATTACCAACGCGGGGAAAAGTCAAATAAAGCTGCACCACCCAGACAGTGAGGAACTAGCTTTTCTTTATGGTACTATCATTACCGATGGCAAAGATATGTTTAATAGCGACTCAAAAGAGGCAACAGCGAATGTATGTGTCTTTGCGGACAGTGAGGTGAGAATATTTCCTATATTTTTCGTTCGTACAGATTTCTTTCGATGTAAACAGCGTAGGGGCAATCGTTTAGGGAACTTGGAAATATATTATTTTTGTTTTCATTTGGTATCTGACTTTGCGATCGAAGAATATCCTCAGTTGGCATTATTAATTTTTGCGCAATTGTTTGCGCTTTCTCAGCTCGAGGAAGTAACCCACGATCCCTCTCTGTCTAATATTTCCCCGCGCACGAAACATCATTAGTATAAATAAACAGAAAAATGCAAGGAATGAGAGCAGCGAGATCTACTTTGTCTGCAACGGCAAATGCTCAGAGTGATCATGCAAAAAAAGATTGGTTTCAGAAAAGTACACTTGTGATCAGAGTATAAATTATAAATTAATTTCTGTACTTTGTGTGTTCGAACTTCACTTTGAAAATCTTTGGTACACATATGTATGTGTAGTGCAGTACATGGTTTCATTTTCTTAAAGAATCCTAATCGCCTGATCGTTTTTCTGCTCTGGTCGATATATTCGAGTACTTAAGCTGTCAAACGAAATCAGTATCATCTCTGATGGCTTCTTCTGAGGGCAGGTGTCACCGGTTTTAAATTTAGATTCTCATCGTCAGTGAAAACCATTTTAGGGTTCATTTACATATGGCAAGTTACTCCCAGATCACTTAGTGAAATGCATAATGTATTCATTTTGCGGGCAGGTGATTTTATTTATTGAAATAATTGCTTGGGAGGAAATCATTATCTTATTCAGCCAGTCAAGTCGTAGCAATCAATTAGTTTGGCTTCACAATTAAATATCACTTCTTTTGTAATTTCCCTTATTTCTGTGAAAATTTGACAACTTAAAACTAAAAAGTGGATTAATTATGAGTAAATATTTTACGTTTGAGCGGGATAAGATTGCTTTCTCAAGTAAAAGTCTTAAAAAGGAGATCTTCAAATAACTTTTTCCTTGTTTTGAAGTGATGTACTACTGTGGTTTGGGTAAAAATTTAAATCAATTGTGGCTTACCTGTTATTTTTTCTTTTATTTTCTCATGTTATGTGATTGTAATAGGATTAGTTTTACCTCAAATCAGTTGTGTTGAAGGGTGGAGTGGGAGGGGGGGTTTGTGACTGGTTCCTCTGAGGTGCACTGGTTGCTGGTTGCATAGTGAACCAACAAACTTCAATACTATATAGTGGACAATCATTCTATGAGTGCATATTGGATTTGAGATGATAGATAGCTGAGCCAAGTTGGTAATAATAGATTCTCATATCCAACAAGCGGGAGTAGAATAAAAGTTTTATTAAAAGTAGTAAAATAGTAATTTAAATGTATGTTGTATGATAAAACATGTTTTATGCTGATGTTACCTGGAAGTAAGAAATTATAAAAACTTTTGTCTTTACTCACTCTGGGTACAGATAAAACTGTTGTTGCTGTTTCTGTATAATAAATTTGCAGTATTAGGTGCTACAATTACAAAGACATGATACATAATTATGTTGAGACTATGTAGCACAATGAATAATTATTATAGTTGTGTGGTTGCATGGATAGAGTGAGGTTTACCCAGAGTGAAGGCAACAAGGAAAATTAATAGGACCAAAATTAGGGGCCATTTAATGAACAATTATTTCATGAGTGCTTGTTGGATCTAAGATGGTAAATAGCCAACAATGCATATAGCACCAAGTTTGCTATAACCAATCTCATATCCAACAAGTGCAAATGGTATGATTGCTCTTTTGAATTTCAGTAAATCCTGAACTTTGGACATTTGGAGCTTTTTTTGGCTCCACAACAGTTGGCATAATGCTTTCCATGAAAGGTGACTTTGAATATGAGGTGATAACCAGAGTTGAGTGAAACAATCAGAAGAATAGAATTGCAATATAAAGGGTTAAAAAATTAGTAATTATCAATTATAATACTGTTCCATAAAATAAGTTTTCTTTGTGGAGTAAACTTGCAAAAATTTTGTTTTGTAGGTTGACAGGAGTCCAACAGGATCAGGAGTGACAGCACGTATTGCAGTGCAGTATGCACGTCAACAAATTGGCTTGCATCAGATGCGTGTGTTTGAGCAAGGTCTGGTTGGTTCACAGTTCACTGGTCAGGCTGTGAAGGAAACTAAGGTTGGGGACTTTGATGCTGTTCATGTAGAAGTTGCAGGCAATGCATATTACACTGGGAAATGCACATTCACTGTAGAAAAGGATGATCCTTTTAGAGATGGATTTCTTCTTAAATAGTAAGAAAATATTAGTAAAGGAAAGGAAAATATGATATTTCTTTGGAAATCAATTACTTCAAATGCATTGTTATATTGAAGCCACTTTATTGAAATGTTTACTTAAATTGACACATGAAATTGTGCAGTAGAAGGGACCCTAAGTTATTCATTTAACTTAAAGAAGCTACTTATCATTTACCCATAAGAGTTAAGCATTAAATATCTTGAGACACAGGAGTTAGATTTTTCCAAGTAATCCTGTATTAATAACTAAAAAATATACAATATCTGTTTTTTTTAAAAAGTACTCTTTGAATCAAACTCTTCAAGCATTGAGGCCAACAAAAAGTGTTGGGATGTAATGACCCAGAGAAGAATGCTCATCAGTCACAATCTTTCCATATTATTCTTAAAAAAAAATTAATATATCTGTCAGATTCTTGCAAAGCAAAATATTGTATATCTATTCGTACACATAGAAGCAGTAGTCGCATAACTCTGCTTTTTTTCCTGTCGAGGGTGGAAGGGGATCTTTGAAAATGTGAAGTGTGGCTTAACCTTTTAAACCTTTATATCAACACATCAGCTGACAAGTATAATTTGTTTAACAATCAAGAGCTTCTTTAGAGGGTGATTGTTTCTTTTATTTTTATGTGACAATAGTTTATGATTCAGGGGTGATATTGTAGGGAAACATTTGATGCAAATCATTCTTAGTGGTCAAAGGGTTAACTGTGACAAGTTCCAACTGTGTAAGTGCTTAAGATGTTATTGCATGTTTGCAATTGTCTCTTTTTGTTTGCTTTCAATGTTTTTGTTTTAGGGAAAGCACCAAGAGAAATATTTAGTCTGAACTTAAAAAATAATTATTGGCTTGTAATTAGGTAATCTTATGTTAAGTCCCATATCTTCTCCTTACAATTGAATTTACTCTGGGAAAATGAAACAACAAACTTATCACCTGTAAGGTGCTATTGATGTTTCACCCAATTCTCAGAGCCAGTTTACTGAGATATGTGTAACAACCAGAACAGGGAATTATGGATAAGATCTTGGGAACTGAAGGGTTTATAGGTTACTGGTAGTTTAAAAAATATTACATTGAAGCAAAACATTGACATCCCTGTCAATGGCTGACTGAATGGACAAATTTACTGAACTGACCAACCTTTAACTTACATGTATGGAATACAATGTATCATTTTCAATTTTGAAGTGAAAAATTCCATGCGAAATAAATAAATAATAACTTATTATTTAGTGTGTTGTATGAACATGATACATCAACTTGCATAACAAATGAGACCAAAAGGAGGGAAACTACACAATTGTAGGGTTAAAAAAGTCAAAGGGTAAATGAAACTTTGGAATGCATTTTGCTTCTCCATATTCTGTACTTGTCATGATCAAAATAGAGGGCCAGCATTTCTTTACCTAAAATTAAAAAGAGAAAGGGAAAAAGAAAGCATAATTTCCTTACTACTAATACAATGAAAATCAGTTAGCTTACTTGAATTTTATTTTCTCACATTTTCTTACACAATGGTATTTTTATATAATTGTAGGTACTTTAGTAGTAAAACTTAAAGCACTTTTCAACATCTCAAAAGTCTTCTCTGCAGTATAATTAACAAAAGCAATGTGACAATACACTATAGGGCCACATCTCAGATTAATGTGACTTTTATGATAAAATGTCACTTTGGACCAACCAGAGCAGGAAAAATCAAAAGTTGAGCTGGTCAGGTTCAGTTATTTGTGTCTAAACATGATCTGATTCAAAAAGCAAATAGTTGTCCTAAGTTTAATTTTTTTTCATTGTAATGAACAGAATTCATTGAGTAAGGTTTCCCATCAATGGTCTTTTTCTGTAATGGGTTCATTATCAAACAAGTTTATGTCTCTTAAGTAAAAGAATGAAATTTAAAATATTATACCAGTAGATGAGTAAAACAATCCAATCTTGGATTTATTTTATAAGAAAACTTGTCATATCAGACAAGAGGGAAGCAGATCTGGTGATAACAACTCAGATTTACATGTAGCTTGCATAATCAGTTAAAGTACATAGATTGATTACCTGATGGATTATTTGGAGAGAATACCCAGCTGTGAAGTCTAAATAACCACTAACCTGCTTGTCCAAATTCTAATGGTGACTCAACCTTGACTTTTGATGGTTGCATTTCCTTGGAAAGAAACTTCAATAATTTTTCTCCTTTCTCATTTCCAGTCACATTATTGCCAATAATGTGGATCTTTGTGTGTTCTGGGTCAAGTTTTGACATGTTTGTACCAAGATTACTCCAAAAACTGTAAAAATTAAGTGAAAGCAGAGTGGAAATTGCAGGATGTTAATTTAGGCATCAGATATGGCAGAAATACCTCTCAACTGCACAGAAAGCTCCAACAATGTATCAGTTGAATACATGGGTTATTTTTCAATCAGATATGGAGCAATCAAATCATACATTTTTCTGTTATTTCACACTATTCTTCTGATCCTAAATTACTACATGGAAACCTTGGGTTTTCAAAATGTTATCTGGTAATGGGTTTCTATTTCTCACACTTCATTAAGATGATTTTATGGGTAGTAATCCTTCTCAGTAACAAAATATCTTCAGATTGAGATGTATGGTACAGCCTATACATAAGTTTCTACTCAAGAACCTATACACTGAGAACTTTACTGATTAAATATGTTAGCTAGTTACATGTATGGAGAATAAAGTGGGGATACCTTTTAATCTCCTCATCTTGTTTAAATTTAGCTTTTGTGAACATCTTTCCTTTCACTGGATTGAAGAAGCCAGGTCCTCCCTGGTATTAAAACAATGGCAGTAGCAATTACTTAATAGTGATCTTATAAACTGAGAAATTTATCGCAATAATTTCTTAAAGACGATATTACTTTCTTAACCTGTAAACTTAAAAAAAATTACTTAGTGGTTTCTCTTTGGGCATAATGCCAGCTACACCAGTAGTATGAAAGAATATGTCCTGTTTGCACACCATTTGAGATGTGATTACTGAGTGGATGAGTTACATGATGGATCATTTGAAACTTTGATCTTTTTGTTAGGTGACATTGTTAAGAATTAGATGAGACTCTTTATTTGACAAGATCAGTGCATGAACATGGCAATGGTGACAATTAACAAGAATGAAATTTATGGTAAAACTTGACACTATTAAAACAAGAGACATTATCATTACTGTAATCTCAAAAAAACTGGATATACCTGACAAACAAGTGCTATTGACTGAGCTTTACTTCTGCTCTGGAATCCCTCAAGCATAGCTACAATTTTATCTGTCAAAAAAAGTACTTTGATTACAAATTGTATTTTTCCCTTGAGAAGCAGTGATGATTTTGTCTTCAAAATGTAAAATACAAGTGGGTGGAATATGCATAATTTTAATGTTGATTTACAATACAGAATACATTAAGTATGTAACATATGGAATTGGGATTTTTTCTATACCTAATAAAACTTGAAGTGTTGTCGCAGAAAAATCCTATAAAACAAAAAAAAATTAAGAAATAAAACTTAAGTATAATTATCCTTTAAACTCCCTTAAGTTCACAGGGAAAGCGATTTACAAGGCAAATAGAAGAGAGACTCACTGATCAGATATTGATAGTTCAAATGATTAATTATGTTTCAATTTGTCACTCAATTAAGACAGACAAAAATTGAAATGTAGTCCCAGAAAAAAAAATAACAGTAATTTTTATTTAATAGTAATGATAACAACAATAACAATACCAATAATGGACTTAATAATTCTACTAGCAATACTATTTATAATAGCAATAATCTTTCACTGATATTTAATAATAGTCACATGGGGGTCAAGAGGGGTATAAGAGTAAATTAACATAAAGCAGGCAGATCAGCAGACAGCTGTGAAATTTAATGACCAGTTTGCATCAAATTTACTCTGGTTTCCTGAGCAAATTCTAGACCTCCGATAAGGAAATTTATTAAAAAAAAGAAAAAAAAGAAAAAAAGAATCTGGACCCAATTGCTGGGAAAACAAATATCACCATATCAAGATCTGTAACCGTAAATAAATTACTATGTATAACAATATGAGATATAAATTGTGTAATACACATGTACTCACATAGTTTAATTTAAGAACATCTTCGTTCACTATCTTTTCTAGAACATCAGATCTTGGAACATTTGATGCAATGAGCTTAATGTGGTTTAAAATTCAGATGATGTAAATTTACAATCAGTATTTTTCAACAATTATCTAGTTTTGGACATAATACTTATATTTCCTTCAATTGAGGCAATGATGGGCTGGAAATCCCCTTACCAGATTCTTTTGAATCACTATTTATGTATATTTCCAGCTCTTAACATAAGCATAAAGTGCATTCCTATCTAAAGGTCTTGCCTAGATTGCCACTTGCACTCTTTTAGTTTTAAACTTATGGATGCACTGTGCATGCAGTACCAATGGCTTGTTCCTTGAATCATTCACCCTCTCTCAATCTGTCCCTTCTTTTTGCAGATTACCCAAGTTTTCATCTCACCCTTTGTAAAATATCACTTCTGACTTGTTGAAGCTCTTCAATCTATTTTACCAATGGCATGTGCTCAGGGCCTTTCTTTAAAGGGCATGATTGAAAGCATGGTGACCATAACCTGACGTCCACAAAGCCTAGGATACCAAGTCTCACACAGCAAGACTTGGTTGATTTTTGCCAATTATACTCACTTTTTGATCATCACTAAATGTTGCTATTTAATCCCAAGGTATAGAGAGTGTCAACACTTACCACCAATCTTGGAGGCATGTAACCATCTCCCATTGTTGTCATTTCCAACTAATTTACCAGGAGTAACAAATCATACAGAATAATAAAAACATTCAGTTAATATTTCAGGGCCACAAATGAGTGAGCTTGCACATCAATAAAAGTTTGTGTCTGCATGTATAAACACCAATAAATGTATTACTGGTATATGCTGGGAATGAAAGTCACAGCCAAAGTGTGAGATTAGGTAGGTTTAAGACAGTTCTCTTTAACATATGGTTGTACATGTCCTTTTTTCAAGGCCCTGATAGATGTGATGCCACATAATTGTATTACCTGTTGTTCTGTTTTCCACTTCAAATCTGTAATGTCTTCCTGGTACATGTTAAAGCTCTCTTTTGTCTTTTCTCCTAAAAAAATTGAATGATATTTATACAAAGTTTAAGTGCGGTACAATTATATAGGATACAAGGGGGTTCTATGTACTATCCCCCCCTTGCTCAATAATTTCATTTTAAAAAAGGTTTTTCTAATTTTCAGGACCCCAATTTCTCTTAATAGGAGCAACTGTGGCTGAGTGGATGGGGCACTGATTTCAAAATGTGATGATCCCACAGGATTCAAGCTCTCCACCCGACTGTTAATTAAATGTTCTCATTGCCCCAAGTTTGACTTCTTGGCATATCTTTGTACAGTAGCCAACTGGTCTACCTCCTTCTAGTTCAGATTTTGAAACACTATGTTTATCTATAACGTCAGTTTGCAATTTTTTTGTATTGTCCCTGAAAAGCCCCATGGGAGAAGTCATAGTCAATTAAGGGTTTTTTTTTTTTAAAGTTATATGTGAACTGTTTGAATTCAACATGAAAAGGTTCATGTTTAGACCCTAACCAGGCTGACTGTGCTGTGTTCTTAGGGGAAACATTCCTAATCAGCCTTGAAGAACCAGCTTTCTTAATGACCTTAAGAAGAGTCCAAGAGCTCTAAGGACACTGTCATGACAACCTTAAAAAATTGGGAGCTAATTATAAGTAAGAGTGAATTACATGTAGCATACAAAGCTGACATGAAGTAGCTGTACCCTTATATATAATTGTGTGATATGGAAATTGTGTTGACAAACTCCAGCAATGTGGGACCACTTGCCACTAGAGAAACTCTTCTTTTTTACCCTCACAGCTGCCCCTTCCCCTCTAGACTGACCCTCTGTTCATTTTGGTGAAAAAAATGATACATGTAAGTATTTATCTCACCAATTTTAACATCAGTGTCTAGTACTGGAGCAACAGCTGTTGATTCTTTCCATGGCTTCCTATACTCAGGTTTTCTTCTTTCATCTGTTTTATTTTCATCCTCATTGCTACTATCATCTCCTTCTCCTTTAACAATGTCTGCTGACTTTTGAGGATCATTCCTTTCTGTTTTTGTTTTGTTGTACTTTCGGTAGCCTCTGATGGTTTCAAAATTTGTAATTATTTGGTTAATTCACTCTGAGTGCTAATTCAAATAAAACTTAATGCAATGTTCTTTTACATAGGCAAATAAATACCTTTGAATAATTCTTGCTGAAAGTTCCTCCTGTTCAAGCTGCCTTCTGGACTGGTAGCCTCTCACATGTCTATGACAAGAATGATGAAAATTACCTACCAAAATAATTTTTTTCAGTCACAAGGGGAGTGTGGAACAAGTTTATGGCCTAAAACTACAACCTCTTACTTTTTGTCTAGCAGTTTCCAAGCTAAGAAAACTTTAAAATTTCAGTACCTTTGAATAGTTATGGCTGCCAGGTCTTTGTCTGTCTGGGTTGATATTGGTGTGACTGTGGCAAAGCCTGTGTACAGCTCTGTATTTTTGTTTGAGTCTGGTGTTCTGGGTTTTAGTGATGGGTACATCTCCTTACTAGACTTGACCTCATTTTGTACCCCCCTGGATGTGATCACACCCTTATCATTTAATGAATGAGAGGATGTTCCCACAATCCCTTCACCCCAAGATGCCACAGCAATGTTTGGACTGCTCCTGGATGTTGCAGAACTGGTCTTTGGTGCAGGTGGCTGGGTAGGAGCTAATAAAGTTGAAATTTGAAGCAGATTGATTTTTTTGATGTTGGTCAACATTTCCTTAAAATAAAATAGCAACATTTGCAGAAAGCATATAAAATATAATTTGGGCAATTAGAAGATGGTTTGTGTCCTGAAATCTTCCATTCTTTGATTCATCACAGTGAACACAACAGACCTGATTTTTGCTACGTCAGCAGTAACTTTTCTTAGATTTTGCAGTAATGGATAATTGGCACTTTATGGTAATGTGCATTTAATAAAACCTTTTAAAATAGTTTATTTTTCAATAATCACTGCAAAGTCCATGTTATGAATATCAAAAATTATTGATTAATATATAGCTATGATTTTATTTTTCATGTCAAGATACCCCCAGAGCACGACGCAATTTCTTATTTGAGAGCAAAGGTAAAGTTATGCATTATTTATGTGCTTATTGTACATTGTTATGAGATATTCACCAATCGTGAATAAATATCACAAGTGAAATTGAACAACTCTTAATCTGTTTCAGATACCTTCGAGTTCCTGCTTTGAGTTTTCACTTTTCTTTGAGTGTGTTGCAAATGCATTAACTGCTCTTTGGAGATAAAAGAGAAAGATTGTCAGTAAAAGCACTCAGAATACACTCTGAACGCCACATTCCCCAAAGCAAATGTGCAAATATGAACTGCAATAAACACATAATAAACTCGAAGTGTTCGATTTGTACACTCATCAACGGTAATATCTTGACACAAAACTTACACTGCTTTCTGTTCTGCGCGTGATATCCTTCTCTGGCCTTTACGATGCGAAACTATGGCACCCATTTTCTCGTGAGGGCTTGTGTAGCTACTTGTCAGAGAGGAGCTTAGGTAGTCATTCACATGCTCCTGGAAGAATCGAATCCATTTACACGCGCGCTTTAGGTGAAATAAGATATCGCTAAAGTGCTCGAAAGTGTTATCCTTGTACCGTGATTTAAAGCTTCGTTCCGATACCGAATGAATGCCCTTGGAAAAAGAATAAAATTTAAAAAGCCTCTCAAAGGAGTCACGTATCAGCAAAATTTGTAATCAAGAGGCTTAGTTGTCCATTTTATTGACAAAGTCACCAAGCAACAGCTTTGTTCACGATTAATTGCTGTTTCATGCATCATTGCACAGGTTGTATACAATGATGTCACGACATTTACTCATTGGACAACAGCAGAGTTTTGAGAGTATTTTATTGCAAATTAGAAAATTTGCGGCCTTAAAAATTTCTGCCGCACGATGAGATGATGGCATAGGTCAAAGAGAAAAACTTATGGCAAAACTTCTATTCGGTAAAAGTCCCGTGTCGCACGCTTTAAAGCCTGCTCAGTTCTGATTTAATGTTCCTTTATCAACAAGAAATAAAGAAGAAATGTAAACAAAATAAATTCAAATAAGATTTAAATAATTTACTTAAGTCTTACAGTAAAAATTTATTTATTTAGAAGGTTGAAGCTATGAAAATGTTGTCAGCTTTAGCTAGCTTACGGTTACAAGTGAAACACATTACGTGACCTTCTGACGAAAACCAAATTTCCCAATTCTTTTTCTATTTCTCTGGACCTACGACTGTTATTATGTGTAAAACGTTAAATTTCCTACCATTAAAGACCCGTCACTCCTAGAATTAAGGAATGTGAAGATAAGTGTGGGTGGACGTACAGTTCTACATCTGATGTAATAGGCGGGTTTTTCCCTGGCAGTTTTTTTTAGCTACCCCGGTTTAGTTACCCCATCGTTCCTAACTTCTGACCTCCGATGGCGTTCGAAAAAAAAAAGGGTGATTGCAAGAGAAATCCTGCTGGGAACACAGAATAATCATTCAAGAATAGAAAAAGGACAGTCAAAAGGTCTCAAGCGCCAACTAACCATCTCAAACACGAACAAATCAAAACAATGCTGCTCCTTAACCCTCTAACTCTCGTGAGTGACCAAGACAGAATTTCTCCTTACAGTGTCAAGAAGAAATGTGACAAGAAAAAGGAGAAATATCAATTAGGGATTATTGGATGATCCCATATCAAATTCTCTGAACTTAGCAGTAAAGAATTGTATGGCGGACATTAAGGAGAATTACTGATGAGATCTTGTGGCTAAAAGGGTAAACAGCCAAAGCATAAGAATGTGTATTTCTGTATGGATTATCAGGCCCTTTTAGGAGATCAAATGTTAAAAAAATTTCCTGTTAAAATGGAAAGTATTAGTTGCCAATCACGACTAGGAGTAGAAGATCCACTGAGATTCTTGTTTATATAGCGGGATCCAAAACTGCAATGGTTCGAAATAAGTTAGTGTTTACTAAAAATTAATGTCTATCAGTGTTCTGATTTAGATATTACTTTTTTTTTTAATTTTATTTTAAATGCTCATAGTCCTTGGTCATTCTGCACTGGTCATTGCTGCATCCTTTACAAGTCGCATGGTAAAGGTCACTTCCGCGGTTTTATTCGTATCCATATTTCACTGGTGGTTCGATGGCACGCCTTGGGCGGGATGTTTCGACGCTTTCTGATGGATTGCCAGCTTTCTGCTTTCTGGGGATCTTTGGCTGCGGCTTTGGTGGATTATCCGTAACATTGGCGTTTGGCATTTGCACTGGCACTGATGTGTCTTCCTCCCTTTGTTCAGAACAAGTCGTTGCAAGAGGTGAAACGAACTGTTCCAGTTGTGTCGTCTTTTACGGTGTATGATCGTTTTCCGTCCATTGAAACCACTGCCCCACATGACCGTCGGGTCTTCCTTTCCTGAGGTTTCTTCATAAACATGACTGTTTGATGTTCACCTCTGTTTGGTGGTTCACTTCTGTTTTCGCCTTCATTCGTTCTTTTGGCGTGTTTAACACTCCTTCGGCCTGCGTTGTTGCTGTTTGTGCTGTCGAACAGGCTGAGTGGTATTGAAGGTAGATCTCATTTGACCTTCCTGTGAAACATCGGCTCACAGGGTTAAGGGGTATTGGCATCTGGTGGTGTGTCGCGGATGTTCAGAAGCATGTCTTCTATTGGCGTTTCTTCTTACTTGGACTTCTCAATTAATCTATTGAGCCTCCCATTCGGCATTTTCGCAGTGGCCGTTTTTCCTCTGAAAGTGAAGGGTCCCTGCCTTGTTTATGATGTTGAATTGCAAGCAGAGTTCTTGGAAGCCACTGGAAGTGTATTGTGAGCCTCGATCGCGTACTACCTTCGTACGATAACCAAACTGGTTACAAACACTCTGAAAATGTTGGATACTGTATCTGCTTCTTGGCTCTTGATTGGCTTTACTCATGGGTACCCTGTGTGGTGGTCAACGATGCAACTATATCATCGACCAGCATGTTGGAAAATGTCACAACCCATGATCATGGCATTGGTTGTGATCACAAGGGTAACTGCTGCTTTTTTCTATGTGGGTTTGTGCTCCAGACAGGATGGGCAGGTCAGAATAAGCCTCTGATCTGTTCAGTCATGCCAGGCCAGAACCACTTGTTCCTGGCTCTTTGGATAGATTTATCCACTTTATCCACTCCTTGATGGACTCGGTGCAGCTTTTGGAGTAAACACTCACGCATCTTCTGCGGCACCACGATCCTTTCGCTCTTCAAAATGATCCTATTAATGACTGCAATGTCATGTCTGTAGTCCCACTAAGCTGTGGCTAACTCGGACACTTGATTGTGGTGTTCTGGCAATCCTTGCTGGCATAGGCGCTCTAGCTCCTTGCTCTTTAGTTCATCGGATCTTCTGGATATCAGATTCATTTGCTGCAATGACCTCAAACGTTCCGATTTGGCTGGTCTCTAGGAATACTGAGCCTTGGTTGAGCGCTGGTGGCGGTAAACACCTAGATAGGCATTGTGCATCTCGGCACCCTTCTTGTATTCTATTGTGAAAACGTAGCCTTGACAACGCAACAAAAGTCTTTGCAGTCGGGTGATTGTGTCTCTTATGTCTTTCTTGATGATCTGCTGTAATGGACTGTGGTCACTGAGTATCTTGAATTTTCGTCCATACACATACCATCGGTAATGATTGACTGCCTACGGCAAGCATATCGCGTTTAATAGTACATTATCTCGTTTCTGCGTCAATCAAACTTCTAGATGAGAAATTAACTGGCTGGCATCACATTCGATGACGAATTTCTTTTTTGGGTTGAAGTAGTGCAATGTCGTGTTGTCTTTGAGCTCGGCCTTCAGTCTGCATTCTTCTTTACTAGAGCACCGAGGTCCTGCGTTATGGCTGCCAGGTTGGGTACGATCAAGTAATTAAAGTGCCTGGTTTTAATCCCTCCTTCGTCAGGGTATGGCCGAAGTAATTAATCTCCTCTAATAAAATCTTTGCTTTCTTCGGATTGAGACTGAAACCTGAGTTTCGACATCGTTGGATGATCCTGTTTACTGCCAGATCGTGTTCCTTCCTTGTTCTTGCAGAAATTAACACATCGTCTGCAATGCAATAGGCATCAGGGATTTCACTAAAGGTTTCGTCGATGGCAGGCTGGAAGATTTCTCGGAATGTCGTATAATTTATCAGATTCACCTGAGCTCCAGTGTCAACCTTGCCCTTGAGCCTTTTTGTGCTTCCATCCGGCAATTCAAGTTCAACAGTGGTATACAATACATTAGGTGATTGGTCTTCGTCTAAATAGACCTTAGTGACGTGATTGGCCAGTTTCTTGCCAAAATGCGTCTCGGTAAACTTGGTTTCTTCGTCCGTTCTCTCTACAGAGTCAACTTTTATTGTGATCTCGTCAGTATCGTACTCTGAGAAGTCTGCCTCGCTGTCTTCTGAGTCTGCAGTTGCTTCATGAAATTTCTTCTTGGGTTCGGGTATTTGTTTCTGCTTACTGGATCCCTTGTTGGAAGAATTTGCCTTTTCTTTACTAGGGCATTTCTCAGCGATGTGGCCCTTTTCTTTTTTTGCATTCTTTCCCGTAGGCAAGGCACTGTTTGGGTGTAACTCGTGTTTAACATATGCCTCAGGCCCCATCCACATTAACACTTTGTTTACTTTAATACTCTCCTCAAGCCCATTGTAGCATTGTAACGCCTTTTTGGCTAAAGCACAAATATTCGTGGTGTAGTGTCTTGGAAGTAAAATCCAACCTTTTGAGCATTTCAACTCCATGTAGCCTTGCTCTAGCAGCTTGCTCAATTGCAACTTGTCGCTTTCTCCTGTTAGTGACGGTTTCTGGCATGGTGACTCAATTGCTTGTATGAAATCATCTATTGCGGTCGATCGGCGTTTTCGTTTACTTTCGCGTATTCCACCGAATAAGTTGCCTCTTGTGTGGCTCTACTTGGCTGGATTGCTGTTCCGAATAAGTGGATGACTAATCTCTATGGATTTGATGGCTGTACTGGGATTGCTTCGGTGAAGAGAATTCGCAGTTCTTTCCAAAATCTAAGATGGCGGCCGGCGTAGTCTACTATTATTGCTCACCGTGTCCCTTCGAGTTTTATTTTTTTCGTTTTTTTTTGTTGTGTTTTTTTTTCTGGACTATCTTTGAGGGCTCCAAACTATCTCTCTTTGTTCCGCGGTATTTGTATGTGTCACGTCAGGGTCACCAGAGTCGGATCTAGACCTTGAGCTAAGGGGAGGGGGGGGGGACGGAGGTTTCTTGTCCCTTGCCCTGTCGGCTTTTCTTCCTTCTGCCATCATTTTTTCTTTTTTTTCTTTTTACCCAAATTGAGGGGGGGGGGGGGGGGGGGCTGGGCCTCTCGGCCCCCTCCCCTAGATCCACCACTGGTCACCGTGAAGTAAACTCCAGTCTTGTGTTCACATAAGACTTTCTTCTACTCCGAACTTCAAAACACTTGTTGTTCCCCCGAGCAGGACAAGTTAACCCCTTTATATAAACTATCGCCCTATTGAGTAGCTCATGTAAACAATACAAGTTTAAAATAGCATAACATACATACAGCTATGTCAGTAGATAATTACAGTTTCCTTTCTATTTCAGAGTACAGAAACGTAGGCTTTTTGCACATCTGTATTCGAACGTTTTCATCATTGTTTGAATCTCTCATGAATATTGAAATGCACGACACGCAAAGCCAGCTCCATTAAATTTCGAAAATATCACGAAACGAGAGGAGATAAGAGCATTTTTTTCCTCTCTTGCACGACACAAGCCTAAGATCAATATCTGGGTCTCATTTGCCCTTTCGCTACCCAAGTTTCCCATTTTATCAAAACTTCTTTGCTCCTTGGCCATGTCGATGGCCTAGATCAAAGTTTGGACATGGTGACCTAACTAAAAGGATGTGACCTTCTGTCAAACGTACCTCATGCAATGTCTGAAAAAGTTGTTTACCAGCATAAAAAAAAACACAAGAATATCACATGCGCGGGTTTTACTTAAAGGTTCATTTAAGCTTGTTTTAGAATTTTAAAATTGAAAAATGTAAATTAAACAAATTATTGATTGCTTCATTAACAATAACCACGTTCTGCACTGTCAGTTGAAATAATTTGGTGAGCGTGATCTCCATCATTTGTTACTGACGAATTTAAATCAAATCCAGGAAAGGGCGTAGTACACCTAGAGAAACATTGGTTTAAGAGTCTAAAATAAACTGCTATAGTTCCTAGTATGATGAGGCCTCATCCACAACACCAGCAGATCATTCCTCCATATAACGTTAGACAATTAAATTTTAGGGATCGATCATTTTTTATCCCCTGTGTGTGGGGAGCGGACGATTTTTGGGAGATATCACATTTTTCGAGGAAACGAAGGGGGAATCAGTCGGGAGACTCTAAATTGACTGCCAATTAACTGCTAATGATGGGGGGGATCCTAAGAATATTACAGAGTCTTATAGGAAAATCCGATTAATTTCCGTCTGACCGACTGGATCCACCATAATAAGTCGCTCTCCGCTCCGTCACGCGGAGCAGTTGGTGATACAGAGAGATTGGAAGAGCTTTGCAAGCGATTGCTGACACCTTAACGACCGCACAGTGATGCTTCATTCAGCAACGTAAATATTCATTTTAGAGTAAATGTATGCTTGTATAATAAAAACTGGAGGTTGTGGAAAAAAGGTAGTAATCCTCCGTAGATAACTTGAACAAGAAATAGGCGAGCAAAGTGAGCAGTAAAAAAAACCACAAAATTTTCAAATATTTGTCATGAGCGTGTCGAAATAAAAAACCGAGTTTCCCATTTATTCCCTCGGCAAACTATTTTGTATTTATTTTTGGCAAGAGCCTGTACAGTTAGGGTTCTAGCTAATAAATTTTGTGAAGTTTTCAAAATGTCATTATTTAATAAATATGTGTAATGCAAGAATGTAGTTCGTCACGTCTTTTTTTCGCTACCGATACTCGACGGCTAATCAGAACGCGTTCAGCAGTTTAAGAACCACTTCTATTAGAAAGGAATATAGCTGCAGTATTCTAATCTTGTTGCAACAATGCAGAGTAATGAGCGGAACGCGGCAGGTTAGTACGATAAAACACTAAGTTCCAACCTAGTTCAATGCGCAGGGCTATAAAACTGGAGAGAACCACTCAAAGCTGGTTAAGGCTATGTGTAGAGGTACCTTCTTACCCTCCCCTCCCCCCCCCCCCCCCCCACAATCTTCAGTCTGACATCAAACGTAAGTCCATTCAAGTAATGTTAAATTTATCTCAATTTTTTCTCTTTACCAATCATAGCGATTTAACCTTTAGTTTCTCATTTTTATGGTTAGGAAGGGAATATCTTTTTGAGGTTTCTATCTAATCCATTACGGAGCATGTAAGTACGCTTTGTGGCGCTCAAGTCCCATGTCGACAAAGTAAGGCAAGTGTAAATTAGGTACGCTCGGTAGCAGCCATGTGGGTCCATTACTGGCACGCGTAGAGTCGGTCAAAAACGTCTAGCGACAGTCGGTCCTCAAGTTCCTCTCTTAAAAGGAGTCTTAAACACCTTTATCACGCAGCACTATCTTCGATTGCGTCGCGCTCCAAATGGAGGCTGGACGTCAGAGGAGGAGCCAAAAGAGGAGCAACGTCAATCCTTTGTCAGTTCAATCCGGTTCAATGGTCATTAAAAACTGCTGGCTGAGTCTTCAATCGAAAAGAAAAGTCGATCGCCAATAACACGTGTATCTAACAGCTCACCGGTCTCAACGCGACTCACATCGAAATTCGGCCCTTCATCTCGCCTTGTAGCGGCAATCCATTTGGATCTCAATAAATCATTCAAAGGAAAGTTGAAGAAAGATAAATTCTCACTATTTTTATTTAGTTTGTCGTTACTACAGAAATTAACGCAGCAATGATCGTGGGCTATGCTTGCTTGTAGTCTCCACTCAAGACACTGTAATTTAAGACAACCCTATACCTTATGCCCGTCCAGCCTCGATTTGGTGCGTACGCAATCCAAGATAGCACTGCGTGATCAAGGTGCATTCATTCCTGTCGCACGTACAACGAACTGTACGTGAGTCACAATGAAAAAAAAAAGTGATAAGAAGTGGTCATTTAACAAAGGGTGCCAAGTGCTGTCATGCAAAGTTGATGCAGCACTTAACCTTTTTTTTTTTTTTTTTTTTTTCTTAACCGTAACTAATCTCACTTTCAAAATTAACGAGAATGTCACGTACACCGCAGGCGGCCTAGCTCCAGCTGTAAGATGATCATCTTGTGAAGTAAGAATCATGGCGAAATTAGAAGAGTTTGTATGGGAATATTTACAACCGCTCTTAAGAATAAAAAATACAGTCAAATTCCTAATAAAAATACCTCACCTTACTTTCACAGTGCATCGCTTGTTATCTGACCGCTTACATTGTTGAAAAGAACCCATTTTAGCAAGTTATACCTAGAAATGGATGCAAGACGATCATCTTACAGCTGGAGCTTGCGCCGCCTGTGCATGCACATGTAAAAGTTATTCATATTTATTTCGGAACTTGTAAATTTAACGTAACTTAATGTTGATTATCTGGTTCAGCTCAGGCGTTGTGCAATCAAACTGAAAAGGCTTAGTGTAGGTTGAAGTATTTTGGTCAAGAAGTATACGATTAACCGCTAACACTTAGTTCAATAAATTGTTTTTATCGACTGAGTTAACAATTTGTATTGGCTGCCGTGAAGAGTTCCTAATGCTGACGTTTCGAGCGTTGCCCTTTGTCGTAGAAAATCTGTTCGCCCTTCGCAGTAACAAAGGGCTAATACTAAAAACGTCAGCTTTAGAATCTCTCTACGGCAGCCAATTCAAAGGAAGTTCGACAAAACCTTCTCACATCATCAAGAAGCCAAGCAAAAAGTTGCCATATATATAAGCTTCTGAGAAGGATTGCAATGGAGTTTTTGAACTGCCTTTGGATATTCTTCAATCAATAGTTTGCAGGCTTTAAACAAATAGTGAGATTTGCGGGATATTATAAACAAGATTTACTGATAGGAAATAAGGAATCATATAAGTGTTGCCTTTGATAAAGATATCTTTTTTTCCCATTATTGGAAGGTCAATGGATTCATCTTTCAAAGATAACATAATTAAGACTGAATGACACGTAATGTGATGGTAAGATTTGAACCAAAGTTCAATTATTATGACAACTACCAGTCCCGTGATCATAGCAAGGCCAAGGTAACCTTCTCGACCGATTAATCATTTCCTAAAAAAGATACCCCCTGTCAGATAAGACTTTTAACTACTGTCAGACAGGACTTTTAGTTGTGGTTAGATAGGAATTTTAACTCCTGTCAGATAGTAGACTGGTAAACTGGATCCACCGCTATCCTCAGAACTGCTCACGCATTACCACAGAGCAGCAGGGAGTTGCTTAGACATGTCCTAGAAGATCCAAAAGGAGATCAGCGCGTAATAATGGTAACAACTTCAAATACAACTTCTTCATTGGCACCTTTCAGGCCTTAGATGGAACAAGTTATCCAAATATAAAAGTGACCAAAATTCCGTCCTCATGCATTGCGGAAAGTGTTGTGCCAGAGAGCAGCAGGTAGGTATCAGTAAACTGGAGAGAAACACGTCATAATAGTAAAAACTTCATAGATAACTTCCTCATTGGGCCTTTCACGCTATGGAATGAAAAAAATTCTGCAAATATACAAAGTGACTTAAAATTCCAACTGGCAGGTGGAGGACAAGTAGGGTTATAACAGTTTGCAGACAAAGAATCAAAAGATCTTAAACTCGGCGCGGCAGAGACCAAATCCAGGTACTGTTATTATAAAACAAAGGGCATAAGCCACGAGGCCTTCACAAAAAGGTGGCGTGCAAAATCACGTTTAAAGTGGAGGGTCAGCGTTAGTAGCTATGCATATTATGCGCAAAGGCAATGTTTAACGGTCACTAATAATACTGGTGTTTCAAACATACAGACGCAACAAGACAGGAAAGTTACATAACAGCGGAAGGAATTGAGACAGATGGAACTCACAGGTCAGTTATTTCACGTAATGCAGTGTTAGCAATACTCTCACAACAGTTAAGCGCACATAAAAACAACAAACTTCTCAAGACAGCGGCTTTTGAAAACAATACTCCAAAAATGTTACGATTCTTATCATCCGAACAATTTTGAGAACAATACTCCAAAAATGTTACGATTCTTATCATCCGAACAATTTTGAGAACAATACTCCAAAAATTTTACGATTCTTATCATCCGAACAATTTTGAGAACAATACTCCAAAAATTTTACGATTCTTATCATCCGAACAATTTTCATCCTCATTGAACAATTTAATGGTTTTCTCTCTTTTAAGAGGCTAACAACTAAATCCATACTGGTAAAAATAATTTTTCACATCTATGTAGATCTAAAACATTCAGTTCAAAATAGCAGTTGAAAAACAGTGCCAACAAGTATCGTTCAGAATTGTGTCATTTTCTCTGTAATTACAACGAGCTCAACCAAACGGTGAGGAAAAGGCCTTATTTTGTGTAGTCCATTTTTTTTGCTTATACATAAAACTTTTTCAGATATCGTATTTCCTTAAGAAGGCTCTCAAGCGCTTATTTGAGATTTCGGAGGAGCGCTTATTATGAGGAGGAATCTTATTAACTTTTCCTTCAACGAAAGGTAACTTTTTAGGGCTTAATCTTTCATAGAAAGACAAAAACTACAACATAATTCACGAAGACATTGCTGAAGTCAATGTAGAGATAGAAAAGTAACTGGAAGTGACCCAATGGAAAAGAAACTATTCTCCTGGATGGATTCCGCAATAGTTGAAGCTTAAAAAATTATCAAACGTGGCAATAGAAACAGGTTTTCCATGTATCTCTACTAGTAAAGAAGATGAGGGAGGTGGGGGCTTGTTTGACATCATGGCCTTGGGGGTTGATATTTATTCAGTGGAGGGCGTTTATTAAAGCGTGGGCAGTTATTCGAGGAAATGCGCTTTTAGCAATTAGTGAACCTTTAATTGGTTTAACTTTCTATTTTTATCACACAGGCAAAATGGGTTTCAAGTTTTTCAGTCGACAGAGCATTTCAAATGAGACTAACACGAGACAAAGACGATTAAGTTGGCAAACAAGAGACGGAAATAGCCCCCAAAGTGAAACAATTTCATCAGCTGACTGCCATGCTGTCATCGGTGATTCTGAACGGAGACTTTGTAGAGAAATTGGTGGGGCTCTGCGCGATATTGGTGACAAATTAAACGACAGCACACTTAAACTTCATTCCAAAACCTAGTAATGTTCTTCGGTGCCCATCTGATGAAAAGAGTGCAGGGATTTGCAGGGCGCCTTTGCAACAGCAAGCTTATCGAGCTTGTTTGGCCAATTCGGACTGAACTTATAGACTTGTAAATGTTTAACAGATGCTTTGCGTACATTTTCAATCATTATTTACAATACATGTGCAGTTCAGTTATGAACATATATTTATTCTGTGTAATACACTCAAGGCAAGGAGATTCTTACCAGGAGCTTTATCTTTGAAATTTGCCGTATATATAGCAAATATGCTGATGAAACAATAAAAGACACAAAGGAGCAAAAAATTGAAACAATTTATCGGAAACCTGAGTTTCCGATTAATTCGCAAGTAATTCATTTTGCACTTCGAAACCTTTAAAAGATTCTGTTAGCGGAGACTCGGCAACCTCTTTTCTGCCAATGGGTGACAGACTGCCAAGCAGTACGCGTCAAATAATTTGCTGACCTCATCAAGCTTACGTGAAAAAGACACTACGCGGAGGTACTTTTATACAACTTTGAAGTTCTAGATTAAGAAAATCGGCCTTTAAAATATCAAGGAGGGCGAGACCTTGCTAACACAGTTAGGGCAGGTTGTTTGTTCTAAGTTATCCTCAATTGAGCCGAACCTTTTATTTTTGTGAACAAGGAGGGCCGAAGGCTAATAGTGGTGGGACATTTCTTTAGTTAATTCAAACCTTTTGAAAAGAATCCCCGAGACCCACTACTTGCGTAAAACCGCGGTTTGGCTTGGACCTCTTATAAATAACCGGCCCTTGAAGTTTTCACAAAATTATATTTACGCGCTCGTTGTCGTTGTTATCAATAGTGTCACTTTCATCATAATCATTATTTTCAGTCAGCTTTGTTTTTGTAACTGAGAGATAATCCAAGGCACCACACTGAATGCATCCAACCGTGTACTAACTTTACCAAAAAAAAAAAAAACCTGAATATTATCTCGAGTGCTTATGGAAGAGCAAGTCGGTAGCCGGCTAGGAAGATGCACCTCCATGTTTTTGTAACTGAGAGATAATCCAAGGCACCGCACTGAATGCATCCAACCGTGTACTAACTTTACTGAAAAAAAAAACTCTGAATAGTATCTCGAGTGCTTATGGAAGAGCAAGTCGATAGCCGGCTAAGAAGATGCACCTCCATGTTTTTGTAACTGAGAGATAATCCAAGGCACCGCACTGAATGTATCCAACCGTGTACTAACTTTACCGAAAAAAACCCTGAATATTATCTCGAGTGCTTATGGAAGAGCAAGTCGATAGCCGGCTAAGAAGATGCACCTCCATGTTTTTGTAACTGAGAGATAATCCAAGGCACCGCACTGAATGTATCCAACCGTGTACTAACTTTACCGAAAAAAAAAACCCTGAATATTATCTCGAGTGCTTATGGAAGAGCAAGTCGGTAGCCGGCTAAGAAGATGCACCTCCATGTTTTTGTAACTGAGAGATAATCCAAGGCACCGCACTGAATGTATCCAACCGTGTACTAACTTTACCGAAAAAAAAAACCCTGAATATTATCTCGAGTGCTTATGGAAGAGCAAGTCGGTAGCCGGCTAAGAAGATGCACCTCCTAGATAATCCTATTTCCACTGCTTCCGAATAAACTTCTCCCACGTTTTCTAGGGAACAACTTCATCAATGAGATCGAAAAATGTTGCGCATTCAGCGGCTAATGCTTGCTGATGGTTACGTAACTATTTCGCACGCACTCTGATCGGAAAAAAAGGAGTAATTTCCGTAAGCCACGGAAAGGTGAATTTTCAACTTTCGCTTCAACCTTCCAACGGGACTTTCCCCAATTCAAATGTTCCCTAACTGGCTCGAATAAGTGCTCAGAGAAAGAATTGCCAATAAGTACTAAACGTGGTGCGCATTTGAGGCTATTGTTAACAACAACATTGGCATAGAGTACACGTGGTGCTCAGCCTTCTCGGATGGTTGATAAGCCAAACCCATCAGTAGCCGGGATATGATAATTGTTGTCCTTTCTACTTCAAAAAATAAATTAGTGACGGTCAGCTTTGATCTTAAGCCTCGTGATACATAAAATGAAATAACATTTGGAAAGGTCAACTCAATGAATTTCGCAAGCCGACATCACGGGAAATTCTTGAAGACATTAAAATTTCTCAAATATTTCCAGATGCAGGCTCGTGTGTCTGTGCGAATCAGGCGGTAACGCCTCCGTTTACTCACGTACTATGTGCAAAGCTTTCCAACTGGAGTAAGTCACATTGATTACTGCTTTAGTAAGTGTAGGGATAGTCTCCCTCTCCTTCCCCCTTGGACATGGAATCATTTGATATCAGTCAAGAATCCATTCCACGAGTGGTAAACGAGCACGTTTATTTCATCTTTTGCTCTGTAACAAATAACAATTTAATCTTCAATTTTTGCCTTCTTTACAGCTTGCAAAGCAATTATCTTTAGGGTCTAGCTAATCTAACACGGAGAATATTATACTTCGCAATCCTTCTCATTCTCTAAAAAAAAAATCCTCTGCTCGCCATCGGACATCATCGTGGTCCTCGGAATCAATCGGGGTGTCGAAGATGTTCGGCTGAAGAAATGCGTCTTATTCGGAGGAGTTTGTGTGTCCTTGCATCAATGCTGCCGAAGCTTTGCACTACCGAGCAAATAGTTTAATATTCTGTCCAGGACGAACACTGCCACGAAATCCGCTAGCAGGACATGCATGAATGTTTCACGGAACTAAAACGAGATAGGTGAGAACAAGAGGATAAATCCCCAATGAAAACCCTTTATTTCAGTTACAATTAAGTTTATTTTCATTTCAGGTAGAATATGTGTAGCCATACCCTCGCCCGCAAGGTGAAACGGAAGCGAGGATTCCCTAAGTGAAAGTTAAAAAACAATAATAAAACAGCCACAAGTTCTAGTATCGAGTTGCACGAATTTATACTAAATCTTGAAAAAGTAATATACTTTGAAACAAAAGGAAGAAAACAAACAGCAACAGTACATCAAGGTTTCTCACAAAAGTATAGTAGTACAACCAGTACTATGTGTGGTACATTAAACTGACGTTTACCTTGGGAGGGAAGGACACGATTTCAAACTGCTGATTTATTTCGGGGACAGATCCCGTGATCATACACACGATGAATCCACCAGAGGCTAACAGACTGTACAGCAAGGCCTTATTTTCCAGCAGGCTCTCCATAAACGGGTGACCCTGTAAAATGCATTCGAAACACTTAACATTGATGCTTGACAAACATCTGTCGTATAACGAACTGCATTATCACCAATCAGAGATGATTTATGTGAGATTGAGCAATAGTAATCACGCGTACGCCCCATTTCAAAGATTTGATGTTTCATGTAAGCGAAGGAACACAACAGCAAGAGATCAAAGAAAATCTTCAACAAGGAAAACTGCGCAACGCAGCGCAAATTTTTAAAATTGAAATACTCAAGGATTACACTTAATTATTATGTAACTTGTAGAGCCCTGTCCATGCAGTCCTGTAAAAAGCCATGATGAAAGCTGACGTGTTAAGAGCCGGAAGGGTTGACAAGAGTCGGTAATAAGCCACACTCACGCGGCCCCGTTACATTTCCTAAGAACGTGGATTCTATTCTAACTTAAAAGAAAAGGGGCACTAGACAAAAAGTCGCGTTTTTTAGATGAATTGCGAAATCATTATTCTGACTAGAAGAAATCATGAAAAAGTTTTTTTCTTTTTTATTGTAAAGTGTCTAGTGCGCGCTCTTCTTAAGTATGTATTAATATACATCAAAAAGTCAGCGAGTCTGATTGGCTTAAAACGAGTGCATTTTCATGTAACACGAGTGTAAATTACAAGTAGCGCGCGCGCTGCCAAAACTTCGTTCGTCTTGACTTTCTTTATTGCGTTTTTCATGTAAATAATCAACACGGGCTCGTGCAATTTTGTAGTCTTTAAAACAGTTACTCGTGCTTATTAACACCAAATTATACCTGAAGTCATGTTGTTTCCTATACTAATTGTATCCTCTTTAGGTTTAAACAGAATTTTTAGTTTTGGTTTTAAAAAACTTATAAGTCATATAAATGAGTACTTATTGACAGTTTGGTTTGACTGGACGGGTAAATATGTAGCTCTCGATCATGACGCACGAGCCTTGCTGCGCTTGATCCGTAGGTCGTGACCTCGTATAAAACATTTTCTCCTCAAGTACATAATCATATTTCAAGTATGTGCGCTGGTTTGACAAGATCATCCCAACGTGTTCAGAGCTAACCAAGTGACAACCAAACTAGCATGACTCAGGGAAAGTGCTTTATTGTCTGTCTTTGCGACTGTACCTTATAGTTGATAGCGAACGTGGCCAGTTGCATAGCAATTGAGACGATGTACACTGTACTGTTTACGATAGTCGGCTGAAACTTTGCTTCTAAGTCAACATGCTGTGAGTTCCTGCAAAGCATACGCAAAAATGTTACACCCAGAGACAAAGATCTCGGCTTAAAATGAAAGAATGAGGGGAAAGTACCATGATTAACTGATAGTTACCACGGAACCACTTTCCCATTGAGCCTCGTTAAAAATAAACGATGGTTGCCAAAATGCCAATCATAAAAAGGGAAATATCATATGGAAGCAATGAGAACTGAAAGTCAACAAGTCACGACTGCCCCAAGGGCGGGAAAATTGGCATTCACCACACTAGGTTGCATTTGGGTTTCGTTTTCAGTTTATCCGATTGGTTGAGAAGGTGGTGCTATCTTTGTCGACCAATCACAGAACAAAGGGCGGTAAAATTGGCAAACAGCGCAAAAGACGGAAAACATGATGATGATCACACTAAATTGATTAACTAAATTGGTTGACTTATCTAAAGTCAAATCTACATATACTCGTAATATCAGCCATCCTTGGCCAAATTCGAATATTATTGCATAAGGTCTGAGGGGGAGCCATTTTAAGCTCTGGCACTGATTCATTTATTTGTTATTAACCGTGCATCTCACAGCTTTCATCAACCTACCAACTTGACGCTTAGGAGCAAAACACTTTGCCATTTCAGCTCTAATTTTTCATTTAAAGTGTACAGTAAGACGATGCAATTACTCACATGGTCGGGGTGAGACGCTTTGCTTGTTGTACCATAAATATGAGAGCCCAGAAGTGAACAGCAAACTGACTTAGTACCGTTATTATGGTATACATATTAAATATGTTTGGAAGAGGACGACGTTTAGAAAGAATCGACAGAGGCTGAAAGAGACACCAAAGGAGCCATGAATAAAGTGGTTAAAATCTAAAGGTCTTCATGCAACAGGCAAGAAAGTGACCTTTAATTACGTTGTAATTGTCATCAAATTTTATAATAAGTTTTCACCCATCGAGATGGGTACCTGATAACTTTGCTCTCTACACACTTCAGCATTTGTCACACCACTGACGACAAAAGTTCACTCGTACTAACTCATACAAAGAGGAGATCGGAAGCCAACCACCCTTTTACCCTTTTATATATATTATGTTACCAAAACAAAACCCACATCCCTACATCAGCTTCCCGATAAACTTATCTTTCTGGGGCAGACTGCAAAGGATGTTAGCTTGACCTACTAACCCAGGCGTGTTTCATTTATAATCTAAAAGACCCAAAAAATACGCTATCCAGGACAGAGTGCTACCTTGATCTTACACAAAATTTTCTTTATAAATCTAGGAGGAAACGTAAAGCGCCTCGGAAGGAGAATTGTGCATCAGATCTTGCCAGGTAAAGGGCTAATCAAGAATGGGCGGGGAAGGGCAAGCGTTCTTAATTTTGGAGGGACGAGCAATAGAACTTAAATGCAAAGGTAGTAGGGCGAGTTTCTCAAGGAACGCTTGACAGCCGCACTAATCCAGATCTAGTCGACATAACTGTCTTGTGGGAAGTCAAATCATCATTGGTGCATATTTGGTGGCATCGAGCTCTCGACCCCCACGACTGAGCTTTTGGTTATTTTCTCACCTTAGAACGTGAAATGAATAGAAAGCAGCCAGCCAATAGAACGCCTTGTAACGTTGCCTGTCTGCAAGAGAGGCACAACACCGAAGATTATACTATTAAATCATAACTAGAGGTACCCCCCCTCGAACAAGTAAACGAGGAATGACCTTGGGACGCTTAAGCAGGGTTAGTATCAACTACTAACTCTGGTCCTCAGCAATTGTACACTAATAATTCATACTCGATGGGAGTGAATCTTAAGTGTATGTAACTGTATATTAAGTTAAAAAATTTAACAGAATTAACCGACACGAGCATAGCAGGCTTGTCTAGTCAGTGGTCACTGTCACCTGCGCAGGCTCATATGGAGCATTGAAACTTCGTTACAGCTGGTATTTTGGAGATCTCGAAAATTTTGGTAGCAACCATTCCTCTGCAGTACTGAGCCGTTTTGATGCGATTGGTTTGAACAGGGGTTAAATGAAGAAAAATTAGCTCCAACTTACCCATCACTGAACTTAATTCCATCTAAATACAACACACTTTGACTATAGGCCAGCACGAGTGCGTTTAACGCAAGAATCTTGAACATTTGTAGAGTGGTGACAAGTGTACATCGACCTTGTTTGATGATGTGACAAACTAAAAACAAAACAAACATCAATTAGTGATCAGCTGGAGATCAACGCTTCCTTGCTACCTTCTTTGCCCTTAGTGATGTGCTCCGCGTAAGTGGCATGCCTTAACAGCTATATTTGTACCGGGGCTTATGAACGAGATGATACGATACCAACAATTTGCGAGCGCAGTTTAGAAAAAGAGTACCGCATCGTCGTGATTCAGACGCATGTTAACCCTTTGATCTGTAAGTGACTGACATCTAGTTTCTCCTGACAATATATCCCCTCGATTACAAATTAAAGTGACGAGAATAAAGGTAATAATCGCCACCGAAAGGCGTTCTTGATCGTTAAACAACTTCTCCTTGTCAGCACCTTAGGAAATGTACAGGGTACAGTTTGGAGAATATGCCCACTGATGCTAGGGTGTAAAGGATTAACAAGCTGGTGATCAGAGTTACAGGCGACGTTAGGAGAAAATAAGTCACGATGCAAGATGGCTTAACACCCAAACTCCATTAGAGCCCATTCCTGTTAATTCTCGTTGAAGCAAAAAAGAAACTGTTTGTAATGGCTGAGCAGGACATAGGAAAATATCAAAAGGAGTCATCTGATTGGTCAATAAGCCGCGATCAAATGATTACTCTTGAGACTCACATAAAAATTGCTCAAGTGTTTTAGAAAGTGAATCAAACCAATTGATTTTCTATTTACCTGCCATGACAGACGATAGTTTAGAGGTGAAAGGTGACGCAATTGAAGCATCTCCCAAACGCACAACTTGAGGTTGATCCGCCTCATCGATCTGCTTTAACATCTCCTGGATTCGTTTCTAGAAACAACAAAACAAGAAATGAGCGGTTTCTATGATGACTGGTGGAGACCAGATAGGCCAATTAGAACTAAGAAACCAATGGAACGATACACAAGGGAAAAGATGCTCAGGCAAGCTTGTCTTATGTTTTTCAAGTTCGATGCCTAATTTAGCTTCCACCATTGAAAAACGACTGATGATTTCCTCAAAGACAAAATATTTCTAGAGACTAGATATCTGACAATGGATATATGAAAACATAACTTCAACAAATTACTGAAGTTTTTTCGACTCATCTTAAGTCCAAAGACCGTGCTGATCATGTTAATTGATGAAGTATGAACAATACAGTGCAATAAGCAAAAAACGTAAAGGTGAAATCTTCATAACCCTGGTAAAATGCAGCAAAGGCTTTCGAAACTCTTTACGGTGGTCAATTTACAACATCAACTCAGTTGATAAAACCATATTACTCTGATCTCCATTACGAAAATTGACGAGCTGTGTTGCTAATCTCCGTTAACTCGACATAAGCATATCAAAAGGTTACCTCCCTGTGCATGGACAGGTTATCAAGGAAAGATATCGAAGTATCCTGTGACATCTCACCTGCTGCTCTTGTTTCAAATTGGAGGCTGTGTCATCCCCCCTTGCCACAGCACGCATCTTAGCTGCCCGTGAAGCTCCTTTGACAGGTGCAGGGGGAAGATGGCTTCTTGAAACTATCTTAATGGAATCGTTTTTACTTTTATCGTCTGACTGTGCCTGAAATGAAGAAGAGAAATAATAGTTATTGCTTGTTCCATAAACGACTTGTTTAGACGACTCATCTCAGTTAGTACTAGAGAGACAGTCTGACAGCTCGTAACGGTTTTCTAACAACGCATCTAGGAGCATAGGACAAGAAACTTCCAAGAAGAAAATTGGAATTGTCCACTTACTGGTGTGGATTGCTTTTCTTCTTTGGATTTGTGAGCACTCTTCTTTCCGTGTTCTGGTAGTTTTTCGGGCGCTCCAGCGAGCAGGGCCACACCTGAAAATTGTATTTAACCTTTAACCTTAGAGATCTGATTCGTAATTTTCAATCGAAATAAATGCACTCTAAAATCATCAGGGTATTGATTCACAATGGTTCCGGAAGGTGTACACTTATTGGCTACACATCGCTGAGAGAACCTACGACAGGCTCGTTCATCAGATGTGAGCAACCAGATGTCTTACCACAATGCGCGTGCTTGAGTGCTCCAACATCATTGGTTCCGTCACCACACATTAAAGTCACAAAACCTTTACTCTTGAGTTTGGTTATGACCAGTTCCTGGGGGAGCCAAAGGCCAGTTAGTAAGAAACAAAATACATGTAATTACTTTCTGAAGAATTTGCTGTTCATCGAACTGTTATGTTACCTTTTGTTTAGGAGCTACTCGGGCAAATACTTGTATATTCTGAACAATGGCGTGGAAAAACTTTGATAATTTTTCTGTAGATTGTAAGTAGGAAAATGCCTGCAAAATAAATGAGCAAAAACTGTTACATGACCCATAAAATTCAAGTCGAAGAAAACACAACAAGGAAGTACACAATAGTAAATTACCTCGCCTGTGACACACAGATCGAATTTGGACGTCAACTCTTTGATACCGCCTGATGGAATAATGGGAAGACTGAAAGAGCGATCCACTGGCTGCCAGTGCCACTCGCTTTCAACTGTATGACGAGAGAAAAACGGAGACGATAGTCATCAGAGAACGAAACATAGTTTAGACCTCAGCAAGTGCAAATGAAACTCAGTAGACAATACCATGATTATTTGAGCTCTCTGGTGGTGACAGAACCACTATTTCACGCCTAGTGAGCCGCAGCTCGCGTGCCACGTGACATGCAGTCAGCGGATTGTCTCCGGTGATCATAGTCAGCTGGTTAAGAAAGAGAGATATAAAATCACAAAATAAATGTAAGCACTAAGGAAGTACAAAGCTTAATTGAACCCTCAAAGAAGTAACGTGGCACTGCTACTTGCATTTGTGGAAAAACTGGTGAACTCTAAACTTAAGTCTAACAGTACAATATTACTTTTCTTTTGCTTTCTGATTCAATCATCGATCCTTACATGATGTGATGATTCTTGTATCTGTTTGATGGCTGCCTTAGAGTCGGTCTTCAATGGACACGCGATCACAACGAATCCCGCGAACTGTAAGTCACATTCACACTCCTCACGCTTCATATCACGGATCTGTCGAGAGGAATGATACAGTTAACAATAAGTAGCGATCTATAAGGACTTTCTTAACATTAACTATGCAACGCTGAAGAAAAGACTACACGACAGGTACAGCAGTCGGACACCTGTTTTGCAAGCTTCCCATAAGTTTCTATCATCCTTCTTACCAGTAACCCTTGTTTTCCCAAGAAACTTCTTTATTTCCTATTGAAAATGATTTTGGACAGCTTCATGTTTTGAAAAAAGCAGAAAAGAAGCGATCTACATATAACCTTCCAGGCATGAGTTGAGCATTGGTAGTTTACAAAGCAACATTAGATATTAAATCAATCGCAATTAAAAGAAATATTTAGTTGGTAGGAATTTTCATACCTCCCTAGCTGCTAATTCGCCTATCTTTTTGAAGCCCAACGCCAAAACTCTAGCTCCTTGACAAGTTATTCTATGGTAAATGGCGTCGTAGTTCCTCGGAACGTTCTTGTACTGCAATCAGAATCACAGCAGGACGTAAAACAAGTACAGTTTCAGAGAACAAGACGTCGCACTGATAACATCCCATTACTCGTGGCTTAACCAAGTCCTGTTCTTGGACAACACACACACACACAAAAAATCTCCCCACAAAAACCAGCCAGAAATTTATGAAAGATCCTATTTAAGGACTAGGAGGCAGCATTTCAGAAGCACTGTATCACTTCAAGTCTTCCAAATAATTCCACCTAAATTGTGATAGCCACTTTAATTACAACATTCATACCAACTCTTACCATCGGTCTCAGAGTTTCAGGAGCTCCTTTGACTGTGACAATATATTCACTGGAAGAAGAGCCCGGATTTTGTAGAGATACAATGGCAGACATTCTCTTCAGAGCGCTAGAGAAATGATGGCGGTGTACGATACGCATAGAGACACGTCTACCTTTGTTTGGCATGACAATGTCGCCTGAATGTAAAAAAATAATACTTAATAATAATGATAATGATAAAGATGATGATGATAATAATAATAATAATAATAATAATAATAACAATAATAATTATAAATGATTAAGTGAAATTAAAGGCGGTGACTGTTTTGTAAGTACTGATCCAAACATGGGACGTACAGGGACCAGCTGGATGACGGATTGGTCCTCACATAGCCCCTGTAGGGTGGATCAGAATGTTCCGTTTGTTCGTTGGCCGTGAAATGACTCAGGGAACAGGTGAGCAGTAGCACGAATCTTCGGGCGAGTTGTACGAAAAAGGCTGAAGATGCGTAAAATTCTTCATGAAACCAATCATTTGAAAAGTACGCATGTCAAATATGACGAATAAGGAAAAGCCTGTGGAACGCAGTTAAGCACAGAAGAAGCTTTGTTTTCTCTCTCTTACGTTTCCTACTTTCTTTTTTGTTTTTAAACGAGTACGTATATAATGGTCGTAACTTAGAACGGATGATCCTCACCTCTCGTTAACCTCCAATCTACTGCTTGTAACACAGCTTTTTCCAGAGGATCACCCACTAAACTATCATCTAGAAAAGCGAGCGAGTGACACGAGGCCAACACATAAGCTGTATCATCAGGGATATCACTCACTGTACACACTTCATCATCATCTCTATAATAAAGAAAGTAAATGAATTACAAAGCAATCCCACCTCTGAATTTGAAGAAACTGTCTACAGAGCAAGCCACTGAAATGAACTGCAGTTCGCGAATAGTAGGAGTTCGAGGAAGCGAAAAGTAAATGAATGGAAAGAAAAAAACTCTTTAGGAAGAAGCTGCGAGATCAATACAAAGAGGAGTTCAAATTTTCAATGAGTTTCATTTGTCAAGATCGCATTGCTTTGTCGATAATTTTGGGTGCATAAAAGGACACTAAAACATGACATCCTGTAACCGTTGTGCATTGCCTGAGCTAGCCTCCTTTAAAAGTCAGAGAATTCCTGAAATTTTGAAGACATCACCTATTACACTTGTGCTAACTTACTTAAGTCCTGCAACTCCCTGCACTATCAGGTTATCACTTGTTAAAGTTCCTGTTTTGTCAAAGCAGCACACATCAACCTTTCCAGCAAAAGGAATTCTGAACGGCTCAGTACAGTAAACACCTATAGAAAAAAAAAATCCACAACGTTAGGAGGAGAGAAGGAGCAAAGTAGTGTTCTTAGGACCTTAATTTGCTTACCTAGTTTTTGTAGTGCCATCAGTGATGAGTTCACAGCAAGAGACAGTTCAATCGGAAGTTCTGGTGGAACCACTGATGTTAAAATAAGAGTGCACTCCAAGAAAAGCTTGTAGCGATTTCTCTTGGGATCCTCAGTACCTGAATAACACACAAATGAATCAATGTCAATAACTTAGTGGAATCATAAAGCATCTGTCGCCAAGAGACCTTTCCACATGAGACAAATACATGTACATATGGAGTTTCCTTTGATACTATTTAAACAACACCATCTAATAACAGACATTCTGAAAAGACTCAAACACATCAGGCCATTTTTTCTTCTTCTTGCTTTTTGCCACAATTGCAAGACAAGTTACACGTCGCCAAATTGTTACAAGAAGTAATTAATAATTGATTTAAGTTCAAGCAACACTTAAATAACAATGTATCATGAAAACGCTGCTGAACATGTCCTGTACTTTTTAAGTTTCAAAGTTACTTTGTCAAAAGTCATAATTAGATTGTCAACAATTCTGACATGTAGTACCTAAAATAAGGAGAAAAAGATTTAAGGAGGCTTGTGGATAATTTGGTTAAAGTTAAGGCGAACTTGTTGTGATGGAGTTGAACTGGTAGGGGTGAATTTGTCATGAGGTAAAAAACCTTCAGATACAAAACAAATACATGTAGGTGCTTACTTTTTGGGCTGGTAGAAATTCCTTATGCAGTTAAAGCTTAAATGATTTTAGTTTTCAGCTGAAAAGTTTTTTCAAAGGGCTTCTTGACATTTCAATCGTCTAAGTGTTACAAATATCAGGAGAAAAATGGCCTAACACTGGTCCTGCCTGCTTACCTTTGACCCAGACATAAGCTGCAGCTGAAACAGCAAATATCAACAAAAATAGGATGAAGAGAAATGTCTCCAAATTGTTGGCTGTGACTCGCTTCACACCAAATAAAATAGTCCGTAGAAGTTTTCCCTGTTAATTACACAACAAAGTCACATTTCAGAACCTCAAAATTATTACCACTTTTAAAATAAATTACTAGTACATTTAATTTGCCACAAGTTGACAGAGGTATTTAATTGCTGAAATAACAATAACACTTAATGAGAAAAATTTCCTGAGATTCATGATTTAAGCAACAGACTAAACAACACAGGCATTTGATCAAATACACAACAACAACAACAACAAAAAATAGCAAATAGCTCAAGAGGTGCAAATCTGGAGTCAACATTATAACCACCACAATGTACTCGAAGCTTGTGGGCTTATGAAAACACTGTTACACCAGTTTTCCTAACAGCAATAGAAGAAAACTGCTTCAAATATTTTTTGGTGAGTTCAGCTTGTGCTAGTGTTTTGCTAGTTACCTACCTGTATTTGTATCTGTGCTGAATCCAAACTAAAAAGAGGTTGATGTCATGACAGTTGCAAAATGCATAGCCAATGGTCATTCTAGAGTATCTCACCTGAGATGTATTGAATCCTGTTCTTAAAACATAGGCTATAGATCCATTGTCAGGAGCTATGGAGGTAAATTTACATATGCAGAGTCAATAAAATCAGTAACACTGCATGAAGTGCCCACTGATAGTAACAGCAACAACAACAGCAGTAATAGCATACACCTTGACCTGGATTTGAAATTAAATTAAATTTCACAATATGAAGTTCATTAAGCTGCGTAGCTATAGTGTTACAAGATAATTTGGTTTAATCAACTGAGTTGATGATGTAAATTGGCCACCATGAAGATTTTTCCAAGCAGATATTTCAAGTGATAACACTTTGCCAGAGTGCATATAGGAATTGTGGGTGTGTGTGATTTGTGTGAGTTAGTCACATTGAGTTTCTGTGTGTTAACTTTGGAAAACTGTACCAAGATTGTTCTATTTTCTTGTTGTTTTCTATGCCAATCTTCTCCATCCTTGGCCACCTTTTTTCTTTTTGGTTTTTTTTCTTTCCATTTTGAACCTTATCTCTCTTACCAAACCGATGTGTTGAAATTTCCTTTGAGTTAGATGAAAATTTGCTCTTTGCAAAAAAACAGACTTAAAGCATTCTTAACATTTTAAGACTCTGATCTGTTAACCAGTAGATTCTGTAAACTAAATGTCAAATTACCCAGGCCATGTTGCTGTCAAATCATTGTGAAATACCTTTCAACCCAGCAGAAGTCTTGAGTGGAGGAGAATGCTGCACGACTTTTGTCCCTCCTGACAACAAATGTAGTTTACTGTGTTGCTCCAAATCAAACACTTCATCACCTGGCAGATCCTTGACTGGCTCCTAAAAGTGATGAGAAATTCAATAAGAGGCCCATGTTCTGAACAAAACAGTGAATTATGCTTTGGGAAGAAAGCTTCTGCAAAATTCAGCAAGTAAAAGGAAATGTGGGGGAAAATCAGGCAAAACACTTTACAATGACTATTACAAAAAATAGATTTTACTCCAGTTTCACTGACATCATAATTTAACAGTCCAATCTAGTCTACACATATACACATGCTAGTCCATAACCTTATAGAGTAGTTCAATTTTTAAGTACTGTTTATTTTTCAAATCCACAATGATTCTTGTACTCTATATGTACTGTTATGTACACTGTACCTTCATTTGAGGAACAGACTCCCCAGTAAGCATGGCTTCATCCACAATACACGAGCCCCTCAATAGCACCATATCACATGGGATCAATACATCAGAGTTCTTTGGTCTACCTGTAAAAGGAAAACTGGAACAGTAGAATCTTATGAACTGAAAATTAACAAAAGGTAAACTTCTTGAACCTTCCCAAAACATTATAGCTTTCCTTACCAATAGAACAAATATCTCCTGGAAGAAGTTCTGAGCTCAAGATGGGTCTCCATTTTCTGTGTCTGTATACCTGTCATTAACAAATAATTACCATACCAGTGTTAGATACAGGACAGTTGAGTTACCTGCAAGTTTTATGGACAATTGACTAACACAATTGATACATGTGACCAGTACATTTAAAACTTGTTTTCAAGTCTTCTGAGAAAGTTTGGATGAGTTAGTTCTCATGATTTTCTTCATTTACACCAAAACCCTCAATAATGAGTTGCTTGATGACCTTGGTATTTGAAAATATTTTTGCAGCAGCTTATTAACTTTTTAAGAAAAAAAAAAACATTTTACAACAAATCATTGATTAAAAGAAACACATGTTTCAAAAGCATATCATTCCTCTTGTTTTGCTTTCAACTGTTTTAGAATCTCACCTGTATCAAGTATGGTTTGCTTCCCATGTTTCTTATTTCCTTCATATTTTTCAATTGCTGAAAAGTGGATGACATTAAAATGTGAAGCCAGGAATTAATATACTCTCCTTGGTCAGAGTCTGTATCATATCTTGCAGTAATCACCCAATGTGAAGTGACAATATTACTGATTTAAAAAAAAATTCACTTGATATCTCTGATCAAAGAGAAAAAATAAACATAGAGAAATTGCAGCACTTGGCTGTCACAATAACTTGCAAGGAGTGAAAATTCCACAAAATCAATATTTACTCAATTCAGGGTAAATAAGTAATATGCAAGAGATCTCCTGCCATTATCTTGATAGTAATGATCAATAACTGAATTGCCTTGAGGTCAATATTTGCTACATGTAGGCAACACCTACCTGTTGTACAAGAGTAGCTTCAAAAGCAACCAACATGAAAAGAGTGAAGACACTGTAGTACCAATACTCATCAAGACACCACAGTCCAACACAAAACACTTGAAACACAAAGAATGGTGCTGTAGCTCTTTCTTTGAATAATTCACTGAACTCTGGGACATCCATCTGAAGCCTAATAAAACAAAAAAAAATACATAAGTTAGAGAAATTATTTCAGTTTTTGAAATCACAAAATCTATAGAAAATTCTACAAAACTAAAAAACTGTGGATGAAAAGATGGCATAACCCCTGAAGATTTTGATTTCAGCAACTACTTGATGATCAAGTACAGATAAAGAAATAAATTCAAACAATTCAAGAGAGGAAGTCACAAAAACCCTTACTACTGGGAGAATTTTTGTTTCCCACATCCCATGCAACCATTTTCAAACTACTATGATATTGTAAGCTATTATCTTTCCTTGTTTACTCATAACTTACAACAAACTGTAACATTTTACCACTGAACCAATTTTAAAATACAACAGCCAAAAAGAGGTTTGTTGCATTGCCTCTATTTCCTGTGTTTTTTGATAATCAAAGATCACTGCTACAGGATATACAGGAAGGGTAAAGATATCCTTTATTGATGAAAATCATAACCAAAATTTCAAAAGTCAATCCAACATTTTCTAAACCTATGTTTCATGAACTGAAACAAACAGGTGGAGCTGTCAGAATATGAAATGGTATTTTGGTTTATGAGAAAAATGTGACGATTTGTGTAGACAACCTGGAACATTTTAATTCTAAGAAAATCCAGAAAAAAGTTAGCCATTTATGATAGCTCAAAAATTATAGTATTCACATCACGACAACTTCCTATAATCAAGTTTTAGATAACATTTTCTTTTCTTTACTAAGAATAATGCTCAAACTAACAAAAAAAAACTTACTCATTTGATCCGTATATTTTCTTGCCTTTTTCAACTTCTGCTTCCTCTTGATAACCTTTACAACTGTTGTAATGATCCATAGTTTCATTGACTGGAAAAGCTACCTGACAGAACTGTTTCTTTTCTTCACTATCATACACATACTTTGTCTTTTGAAAATTAAAATATATGACTTCCTTTTGTGTCTCCCCATCCTAAGAAATACAAATGAAACATTTATCAATGAAGCAGTTGAACTTCATTAATCTAAAGTCAGTCATCTTGTGTTCTCTGTCATGATAACTTTAGTCCTGTTTTTTCTTTTTTGCATCAATTTAACCCTTTAACTCCCATGAGTGACCCACACAGAATTTCTCCTTACAATATCAATACAATATCAACCAGATGAGTAATGAGAATAAAGAAAAATATCAATTTGGGGATAATTAGTTGATCCAATACTAAATTCTCTGAACTAACAATATAAGAATTGTATGGTTGACAGTAAGGAAAATGACAAATTTGAACTGGGAGTTAAAGGGTTACGTAAGACGTTGATATTTATTTACATAACTAAAAATACATGCCATTGTTCAGTGAATAATTGTTAATAAATTTCCCCATCATACCCTGCAGCTTGATAATTGAAGTAGCATCTTATTTAAACCAAATAAACTTTAGATATTATCTAAAAAGTTAAGGAAGACTGTGAGGTATGGCAAATCATCCAATTGGTGCTTTCCTCAAAAAAGCACTTTACAGCAGCCATAATCTACAATAAACAATCATTTCCCTCTTCCCAAACTCTATCAAAAGGTACTGAGACATAGTAGCCTGTCAAGCACTGATAGTGAATTAGAACTCTTTCCATAGGTCTGCATGCTCTCACCCTCACCCTTCACAAGGGTATTCATTTCATTTCATACTTGTTTTAGTTTGTAAGCATATTAAGTTAAGTATAGAAACATGATAACAAGTAAAAGCTATGCCTTATCAGCTTTGCATTTCAATTCAAAGTTAACATTGCTTTTAACTCACAAATGCTGTATGCAAACGAAAAAAAAAATGATCAGTCTCAGAAAAAATTGTAAAATGGCTCTTCCCTCTATAGGGCATTAATTTAGTGACCTCAGGTTACAGGATAGGGTTGTCAGGCCCAATACCAACCCTCCTTCTTTTACATCTGGCCTTAGGACTGGCATAGACAGGACAGTTGCTAGACAAGGGGGCAGCTTGATAGACTGGCAAATGACAGAAATCAGTGGCATTCTCTGGCTGAGACCTTATATGCATAGGCACACAAAGAGGACTAAATAACTAACTCTTTCTAGGGGGCACCCTCTTTGAATAAGTAATTATTCCCCCATTTTAAGCTAAACTTGAAATGAGGATCCTAGCAGCCCTGTGCTGCCATTAGTGAGCACTTACTTGTTCATGGTGTAGATTGAGCAGCTCTGGGGAGCCATTATTTGCTGTTGGAACAACTTTAATTACTGTGGCAAGAGTTGGACTATTTTCCTACAGATGAGAAAAAAGCAGTTCTTCTTTATGCATTTTATTCTTCTCTCCATGCTGTTCCCTCAGTAATTGTTGTCGTAGCATCTTTTTTTTATTTTTCATAAAATTGATATGTCTTCTTCTTCGACGTGGACTGAGGTACTAATGTATTTGAAATCAACAATAGTTTGAAATCATTTTGAACTTGAATTCATTTTTAATTAAAACCTCTCATTTTATTCATCCAAAAAAGAGGTAATAAATTGTCGTGACAATACCGTCTTGATTATAAATAAATACATTAAATAAAATTATTTAATGAAAGAAATCCCCCTCGCTGGTCTATCATGTCGACAGTTCTGGTTCATATGAATCTCCGTAATTTGGCCATCACGACCAAAAATCTGAGCGTGTACATTAACCAAACGTATTCTTACCGATGAGCAGGTGAAGAGACATCTTACATGAACAGACCAGTGACAGAACAACATGGAAAGAATTTGTAATATTCCGATCGCTGCCAAAGCAATAAGACCCGCTTCAAAATAATCTGTAACGCCATATACCATCGTCCAGAAGTAAAGCCATGTCAAGTAGATGGGTATAAAAGGTGCTAGGTAAAAATGAAGTAAAAGAGGCCTAATTCTATACAGTTTTACGTATTCCAATTCATCATTTAGTGATTCGGCAGCCATCTTGAAACCCGACAAAAACCACAGGATATACGCATGAGTAGTGAATTAGACCGCAGGCTTTGGAAAGTGGGGTCTCAAATTGGTACCCAGATTCCTCTCATGAACTTTTTCGAAAGTGATTTGTGTGCCATGTTGTATTATGCAAGAACGCCTCTAGATCGCATAGGGCAAAGTTTTGATTCCATGTGAAAAAGTATGGCCTTTACATCTTCAAGTCTTTTGACATCTCCAAAGTTCTTGTGCAAATACGTGCAAAGAACACCACCATTGGCTGTCGTTTGCTATGTACATTCTCAGCTGGCAGTTCAACCTTGCAAAGTACGTAATGTACAAATTTGTTGTTTATTTACATTTGCTATTCAAGTGTATTTTGTTCCTCTGCTCCTTGAAATTCATGTCGGGACTATGCTTTTGCTACTTACCTGCATTCTTTAGCGCTCTGAAGGAGATCATCGGTTCAATGAAACAATGGCGAAAACGATCAGACACAATCGATTTCCTTTGGGACTTCGGCTTTGTCTCACAATAACGTGCATATGGGGCTGAGCTAAAATGTTTACGTGTATTTTTCTGTAAAACTCGGTTCTTGGATTTCGATTCTTTGTAGCCAGAACTAACCTGATTTCCACCTTCAACGCAAATTATCAGTGATATATGTCTTATTCTCAGTAACTTCACGCCAAGAAGATGTTGGTCAACATCATATTCAGTTTAAGTGCTGCCTGTAAATAGACAGCAAATGTCAGGATTAGTATTTACGATTCACTTCTTTTTTCATCCCACAGGTTCAAAAACCTTTTATTTTTCAATTGAACAGAAGGAAGAAAACTGCACATGGAAGAAGAGGTACTGGACAGGAGTCCAGCTATGGTCAAGTGCAAGGTTTGTTGTCCTTTCAAACAAAAGGAAGAATCTTCTTGCACAAGAGCAAACACCGATCATCTCATCTTCTCAAGCAAAATAATGGAAATGTTAAACTGGACAAAAATGCAAAGGACTTGTCACTGATATCAACATGGAATAACGATCCACTTATGGATCACAAACAGTTGGTTGTAATGGTTTTTAAAGAAGATGCATTTACTGGAAGACCTTCCTTAAGACTCAGGGAAGATTTTCTCAATGCTGCCTCTCCCCAAGGGTGTAAGGAGCCTTCAAAAGGTCCAGTTGCAAAGCATAAAATAAGAGACACATGTTTAGCCTCTTTTGGCAAATATTCCAGAGCAACTCAGCAAGACATGAGGCCACATCCTCTGCAAGGTAGTGTGGACAGAGTTTTGGAAGTATCTCCCTCAAATTTAGGGATTAAAAACTCTATTTCAGAAGCAGCAGTGCTGTTTTCAGACTTTTGTAGTGGTGAAAGAGATTTTGAAAAGCCAGAGATTAAAAAAACCTTCCAGAGTGGGCCAAATCCTACTCAGCTTTCTTCAGTATTACTGGAACTTAGAGAGGAGGTGAGATTTTATCCTTTTATGGTGGATTTTTGTTGTCTTGTCATTACATCACTGCAATGATTCATGCAGGATCTCAACACACATTTTAGCATGTACATTTGACAAATAGAGGGTTTCTTGTGTACTCACTGATAAAGAGAAGGTACAAATTTTTAGAATCAAACCCTTCATTTTATTCATGCAGAGTGGGATGATCAAGATATACCTTATTTTGTGGCTGGATTGTATCACTCAGAATCAAGGCAGTTTGAATGCTAGCAATCATTCACCCTAACTAGAAAATTCATTACCTGAAGTGAAATATAGTTATCAGTTCTCTTGTGGATGCACAGGTCTGTCTGTGTGTCTTTTTGTCCTAAGATCTGTCATCATGCTCTACCTGCTTGATAGGAAAATCTAGATAGTAATATCCATGTTTACATTGATGGTTCATAGTGAGTTCTTACAGAGTGTTTAATTGTTGAAGTTTGACATTTAGAAATTCAAACAATGAGAATTTGGTATTTCCTTGATGAAGTTCAGTATAACTGTTGTGTTTTTTTAAACTCAATCGTGCAGATTCCATTATTCTTTCTGAAGAAGCCCAATTATGCAATATACAACAAGAGAATTAAATTTGTTAACAACATCACTGGAGTCACAACACAGTAAGTCTAATAAATCATTTATTTCTGAATTTTATTTGATAGTTAATCTCTGTTTGAATTTTTTCTTCAAGCCTGTTGTTTTAGCCCTTTTTGTCCTAGTTTGTTTCATTGATCTACGTAGGAATATTACATTAAAGAGGATGTTAATTCTATTGAAGTATTGAGTCCATAGAGTTTTCCTGACACCACTGTTATGTGGTTTAAGATCTAGTTTTTCATTTGAATGATTTATTCAATCGATTGTTAAAAAATCCATACTTCCAGACTGGTGTAGGATTAAAACCATTCAGTGGTAGTTAATAAACCTTTTTGGTTTCCACACTCTTGTGTTTGGTCAATCATCTTACTTGGTCTGAGTGAGTGTTCTTTGTTTCCCTGATAAACTTATTATGTGAGTTAGATTGGCAGCTGTGTGTAATAACTTTGGGTTAAGTTTTGCAACAGTCTTTCAGAAAAGCACTTTAACAATTAGGGCCAAACGTGCCTGTTGTCAATTAATGTTTTGCCAAGGACATCAACAAAATGTCAGTTATGTAACAATAAACTTTGTTTTGCACTTTAATTTTATTTTAATGATAAGTAATGATATGAAAAAAATGCATCCCTTTTGAGAGGGGTCACAGCATCATTGTATTTTCAGTGGAATCTATCCATACAGAAGCCAAGTAAGTGGCTTGAGAATGCTCATGCTGAGCTGCATGACAGAGCTGTCTGTTGAGGTCCTTAAAATCACCAAACATCCAAATGAAGCAGCAATCAAAGTGCGGTGGAGGATTAAGGGAGTACCATTAATTAGAAAATTAGTTCCTTACCTTGGAAGAAAAGTCAGAGTTGATTCTTATGGTTACAGGTACACATTATATTGGATTTTTTTGGGTGCATTTTGATAATTTCTTTGTCTCAATATGGTTTTAAGCTGAACTAGCTTTTAGTCTTTGAGCAGATACCTTGATTTGTTTTATACAAGCAAATTCTGTTCCTCATATTTGTGGGGCAAATTAAGAATACTACATAAATTAAACAAAGAGAGCACCACACAAATTTTAGAGAGAGACGCATGTGCCACTGGAGCTTGTTTCTTCTTTGCCAGTTGGCATCTGTTGTGTGGTTTCTTTTTCAACAAACTTAGAGGAGAGAAAAAATTTTGTAATTGATCTAACAGACTACTGGTACGTAGTATCTTTTTGCAGTTCAAACAGAGGCTAGGGAATCAATTTGCCAGCTCTCACAGCTATTTTTTCCAGAGCTCAAATGTTCTTTATCATCCACTCACTGTTACTTTGTGTATATAGATATCTGGATGGCTTTTCTGTGTTTGAAGTCGGAAGTGATGGCCTTATTCACTGTCACAGACTTCACAAGGTGTGTTTAAAAGAATAGGAATGGCAAAGAGGGAGTAGGTATCTAACACTTTGGGACAAACCCTACAATTTTGAGAAGCTATAAATGAAGCTTGGTTGCCTTTGGTGTGATTAATTTATATATTGTTGAATGTTTGATTGTATATTAACACATAACAATGAGTAGCCAGGACAGTTTAAGAACTGACAACAACTTGTGTCTAATGCCTTTGGTGAAGATTGTCAGTTGTTTATTGTTTTATCCCAAGGTGGATTTTGAATATTTTAAACCTTTCCTTTCTTACAAGTATCAATCAGCCCATAGAATAGATTGTGAAGGGTGAGCAATTTTTTTAAATGATGGGTATATTGGCAGTTCTTTGCTAAGTTGTCATTCCCCTTCTGCTCCATAATACATGGATGTTACATCCATGGAGAAATCCCTTAATTGTCTTGCTAGGAGCAAAAGCCTCAAGGTCTAAAAAGACAGTTTATTTTTTATCAGTTTTCAAATTCTTTTAAACTGCAGGTGATGCCCTCCACGTCACAGGAAAAGGAAAATCCATTATGGATGGTTGTGTTTTTGCCGTTGATCCACATTCTGAATCCAAGGCAGTGTGAATCCTTCAGTGCATTTGAATGCTGCAGCACTGATAAAGAAATTGAACCTTCAACCTCTGACTCTGATGTGCTTGCTTGCTAGAACAAATAATCAATCAACCCCAACCAAAACACATCAAGTTGGTCGTAATTAAAAAGACATGGATACTGACCAAGGCAATCACGATTTGACCATGGTATTTTGGTTGTTCTGAAAGTGCTCAAAAGTACTTGGTAACTATTTGGTTTTTGTGTTTATTTGAGAATCACTGTTATTGTAAGGGGATTTTTGTTTTTTTGGAACTTAACAAATGTCATTTTGTAAAAAAAAAATTTGTAAGTTTCCTTCAACACTATTTCTCTGTATAGTGTTCAAAAATGATGGCGTAATACTACAGTCAAATTTGATAACTTGAACCTTGAAGTGAAATTGAAAAAGGCTTGAGTTCAAGCTATCAGGAGTTGGGAACAAAGGACTGGAAACAAAGGAAAAATGGTGTTTTACTGTTTTTCTATTCATACCTTATACATTTTAATAAAATTCAATTATAGAGAAGTCAAGTGAAAATGGAACAATAAATTACTGTAGAAATTAAATGTAACAAATGATTTAGACTGCAGTACATTGTTTTGATTTGTCATGTATTAACAGATGTGATTTGAGTTATAAATGGTAAAAATACGTAGAGAATGACCTGAAGGGAAACGAAAAATGCTTCGAGTTAAAGAGAGGTTCAAGTTATTAAAATTTTTTTTCCAAAATGAAAGGTGCATGCACTACCAGAAGTAGGTTAAGAGGTGTACATGTACTTTTGAGCACTTCACAGATTGGCCTTACAGTATAATTCAATGTAAAAGGAAAGAGAGCAGCTACTCATCCAGAACTTGAGGTTTAAATATACCTAAAGGGCACAGTACTGAGAAGTGTCATTAGCCATGAAATGTAGCCTGATTGTGCTAAATGGCAAAAAAAGAAAATACTTCTGTGCTTAATGGTCCGAGTACATAGGTTAACTTCTATAGTCAAAGAATGATAATTAGTAAACTAAATTCCATTAGTGGATGTAGTAACAGTTAATTGACCATTGGTGGAGATCCTACATCAGATCAAAAAGACAATACTATGTATATCAGTGTAGGGCTAGCAGAAGGGTGTGACTTGAGTTATATGCTATTAAGCTAGAACTAAAAGTCTAAAATCCCACTTGCTCTTTCAAATTTGACTGGAAATAATGTATAGTTTGTCTGATGCCTTGTTGAGTGGGCAAGAAAGCTAGAAAAGTTTATTCAGGAGATATTGAAGGCTTTAAATTAGCTAATGAAGCTTCTGATTTGCCATGTCAAGAGAAAGTAAATGGCCTGTGCTGTTGAAAAGTAGGGTTAAAATGTTTAATTCAAACAATAAAATTTGACCAAAGGATTCTTGTTGCCTCTTACATGTGATGGCATCTTCAGTGGCCCTTCATTAGACCCTACCTAAGTAACATTTTTATCATCACAAGTTGCACACACAGTTATACTGGATTTCCTCTTTTTAGATTTATAAGAGGGTGATGAATTTTAGGCTTGTTGTACATGTCTCTCTTGTATGATTTTTGTTGTTATTGCCTCTAAGCCACTTTAAATCTGTATGTGAAGTACATGACCTTGAGCAGTATTCACTCTTATCTGCTCGGACAGTACCAATTGAAAGAAACTTGAGATGTTGAATGTAGCCAAACCATGTGTCTTTATTTAATTAAGGGGCTTGGTTGTTTTCCTGGACAGGATATACTGACAGAAGTGCAAGACATTGTCCTAGCTTGAACTCTGCTCAGGTTGAATTGGTTGAACAAAAGATCGGCATACTATCCTTGATTCATCAACTCTGTTTTTGTGAATCTGAAATGCTGGTGTCACCCACTTTCCACAAGAACACTGCATTCCTGGCCAAATAATTTAAAAGTAGGTGCATGTAAGTTACTTTATACCACAATATATTTAACAAATCATCACATGGCTTGAATTTAGGAAACTAGCAGATGTCAAGATGTCACAAGGGCACCACTTGATAAAAAGGGCAATTGAAAAATGAACTTTCATGTCTTCTTTTGCTTCCTTGTTGTTACATTTATGGTTTTCTTTAAGACCCTTCTAACCTGTGACAAGTAGCATAGTATTCAAGCATATTATTCAATGAGTCTGAAGTGCTTAGGTGTGTCAAAAGTAGAACTGACATAAAGCAAGATTTCTCTGAAGAAGGTGACAGTCATACTTCCTTGGCTTTGACAAGCAAAATCTCCTAGAAATGATTTCTAACTTTACTTGGTATCATATCAATTTATCTATGGATAGCTCTCATACATAGAAATGTAGCCTTAAAGGTAATTGGCTGAGGAATTTTGCACTAAGTGTCACTTTTCATAGGGTACTATATTACAGTGAAACTTTTTCATACCTGCCCAGTTGAATGAGCCCAGTCTTCCACCACACTTAGGACAAGGAAGCTAAAAGTGTACACAGACATTTTAAAAGTTGGAAAAAAATTAACAGGCTGTTTTAGTTATGAAATAAATGGACTGCTGAATGTCTGCGAGTGTGTCATTAATTTAATAACATACCAGTTGTGAATACCGCTGAATGGATTGGATTATTCAAAAAACAACTGAACATTCAAATAACTAGCAGAATGACTAGGAAATTGACATTAAGAACAAAGGAAGGACTGAGAACACCAGAATGAACAAAGTTAAAGGTTTATCAGTTGATGGATTAAATTTGAATCAGCACTGTGACAATTTACATAGCACTTCATTTTCCCAAAACATAAAAGAAGCCATGAAATACATGCAATGTGCTTATTAAGCTGCGTGTACACCATTAGTACCTTTCCATCAATTGTTCCCTCAAGTAAAGGAAGCATCCAGCTCACAGGTTCAATAAAAAGGGATGTACATGGACCCTTGCTGCTGCTGTTACTCCAGTTTACAGCACTGGAATCCTGTTTATGCCGCCTGAATGACACTTGACCACTGCCAGGCTCGTGGTCAATGCTTGAATCACCACCAAATAACATAAACCTGCAGAGGAAACATTAACTACCTATTTCCTAACATTTCCTTTAACATGTTACTTATTAGCATTTGTTGGAGAAGCTGCAGTCTAAGGGTTAGTGTGCTGGACTCTGCATTGAGAGGTGTGGGTTTGAGACCTGGCTGGGTCAATGTGTTGTAATTTGGGAAAAACACTTCCCTCTCACAGTGTCTCTCTCCACCCAGGAGTACAAATGGGTACCAGCGAATTGTCAGGGAAGCCTGATGAATGCTGGAGGGTAACCTTGCTATAGACTGGCATCCCATCCAGGGGGGGTAGTGATACTCCTCATCAATTAATGCTGGGGAAACCAGGATAAGCTTTGGCTAAGTGGGCCACTAACCTTTTCATTTTTTTAATAAGTAGTTCAAATGACATACTCTCTTTAAGAAGTCTTTTAAACAATATTTGCACTCTGGCAAGCACAGTAATAAGCAAAGAACTCACTAAAAGGATATCAAGCAGTAATGTTGAGAAATAATTATTCAGATGAATGGGATACACAAAATTACAAGGTGAAAAAGTGAACCCAATAGAAAAAGAACCTATGGACATCTGAGTACCTCCAATGCTGTTTGGAAAATTACTCTTGAAATATATTTAGTCTTTTTGAAAGTGACATAAGTTGAAAGAAGACTAACAATTAATAAAAGTTCAAAAGTTGAAATTTATATTATTTGGATTTCCCTACCTACATTTTCTACATTTATACTTCTTGTCATTTGAGGCAGTGTTGTCTTTGAGTTCCTCAATCAATGATGAGAGAAGATCTTTTGTCACCAACTGTGTACCTAAGAGTAGGAAAAATAAAAAAATATCTTATTACTAGTTAATCATTTGTATACATTTTAAAAATAATCATTCATAAAAATTATTCTGATGAACATTGAATATAGGTGATGAAAACAAATAACAATGAAGTTCTGCTTTGAAACTTTTTTCTACCAAATTGCCCTGAGCAAGTCTATAGCTGAATGTCTTAGAAATTAAAAAGCTAGGTAAATACTCACAGTCTAATTAAAAAATTTCAAATTAAACATTCATCACAGACTTACTTTGTATCTGACTGGCCAACAGCTGCAGGCGGTATTGTTTGTAAGCAGGATGAGTTTTATCAACTGTACTTCCCATTGCTTCGTAAAGTTGAAGTTGCTCAAGAAAGCCAACATTGGGACTAAAAAATAATGAATTAAGCAATCAAACAATCAATCAACCACAAGTCAATATAAAATGAATTTGTAGCGCAATACCTATAATAAATAAATGTCCTTGTTGAAGTGTTTAATGTACAAGTTACATGTGTGGTATTATTAAGGTATTACAACCTGTAAAGAATGTTTGCTTCCCAAGAAACTTTAATTTCTTTTAACCCTTTCACTCCCAAGATCTCATTTAATTTAGTAAATCTCCTCACTGTCTGCCATACAGTTCTCGTGATGTTAGTTTGGAGAATTTGGTATTGGATCAACTTATAATCCCCAAATTGTTATTTTTCTTTATTCTCATCACTTGTCTGCTTGATATTGTATTGATATTGTATTGATATTGTAAGGAGAAATTCTGTCTTGGTCACTCATGGGAGTTGAAGGATTAATAATGGTTTTGATATTTTATCTAATATCTTACTTGGCTTTGGGATAAATTTTCTTCATAAAAGCAACAGCCTCATCCACTGACAACTGGTCTGATTTCATCAGATGGGCCAAAACAACAGTAACACTGCGTGACACACCCTCTAGGCTGCAGATCAAAGTACACAGAACTGGTTGGATCAACTACACTGTACACTTGAATGAAGGAACCTAAACACAAACTCACTGAGAGCAATATAAATTCAGTGGGAAGATCAACGATGCAGACATTGCATTTGCCTAATGAACATGGGACTAGTAGAATACAAATCCTTGATTCAGTAAAACTCTAGCAGTAAAACAATAAAGAAGAAATATTGGGTAACCATGTAAAATCATTAGCCAGGAGATGTTTATACTTCTAATTCATTTGGGTGAAAGAAGTGACAAAAATAAATTAATTGAATGATCTTTTTGCATATTAACAAAAGAAAGTTTTTTTTAATTTTGAACTAAGGTCAAATAAAAAAAAAAAGATTAAGGTGCTATTGTCACAAGCCACTCACACGTGTAGTTGGGAGTATACCATAATTTCCAGCCATTTACCCACATGGTAGATTACCTGCATCACTCAATTTTTGAAAGAACGAGAAAAAAATTTCAACAGATTACCCACACTAGCAGATAACCAGCACCCAAAAACAAAAGAAATTTGTCAACTCACACAAAGTTCCTCCACTGTTTTTGTTGACATGACATCCTTTAGCATGCAATTAATAAATTCTCACACTTCTCATTCTCTATGTTTCACTGAGAATGACACCACTTGTAAAAATCTATTCTCAAAAATAATTTATATCTTGAGATCTACTGAGTAAAAGAAATCACTTGAAATGGGAAAATACTCTTTCACTCAAGGCAGTGCCAGCTAAGAAAATTTTACCGATGCATCACATATTATGTCGTGCCATTAATTATGTAGCGCCATGAAATGAACATGTTGACATCATTTTCCGTGTAAATTGCTCAGAAGCCTGCTTTGTCACAATTGAATTCTTTTATTTTCAAGTTCGTTTCCTGTGTAAGTGAGAATTGTTTTTTGAACTAGACAAAGAAACGAGCTGTGAAATTGATAAGGTAAGAAAGTAAGAGTACAAACAAGATAAAAACTTTTGTCATCGAGTTTTGTAGATATGTTTTCGATTTGCATCAGCTTTCATTGAGAGCAATCTGCGTGAAATAAATGAGCTATTACACAGGTTCTTTGGAGAGTATTTTTAGTGGATCTTGCTATGTCTGCTTATTGGTTTAAAACTATACTAGAAGCTTTAAAAATGATCATAATACTCACCCCTTCCTATAACCCGCACCAACAACTGTTTGTTGAAAAATTAACAGACTACTTGCTGGTAATTAGCCAGAAATCACGGTAATACCTTATTAAGGTCTGTAGGAAATGCAGTATTCATAGTCTTGTGGGATTATTGCCTTGAAACAGATTAGCTTTTTAAGTGTAAGGGGACTGCATAACTATGCTCTACCTAGATCAATGACATGAAAAAATGGTATTAAATCCTTTTTTTTTTAATACATTCCAGTATCCCCAGCGTTCCACGTTTCCTGATTTTAAGAAGCTTCAAGGTTTCACCACGCACGCATTTCAGCGTGTTTAATTTGGTTAGCCGTATTTTGTGAAAATCCGTTAAAAATCAGCCTCCAAGAATTGTACTTACCAATGAACGACCACAGTTTGCTTGTTTTGTAAACCAGTTGTGATGAAGTCGGAACATTCGTCAAAGAAACTTAGAAGATCTGCTTCGGGTTCGTCCAGGCAAGTGACATGCTTTGTCGAAACTCCATCTTCCTCGATTTGAAGCGGTTCACTGTCCACAGTGAGGATTCTTAAAGTGGCATCTGGTAACTTGACACTTACTAAATTGCTTGCATCAACCCGTGTTCCGACAAAAAGTCCTTCCTTGATTAGAGGCATTTCCACATTACCACAATTCGTCCGCCATGTTTTTCACTGCCACTTCGGGTGTTCGTACAGTCGTCGGAAACTCTAAAAATAATACTGCTGGCCATGAACATCGCACTCTTCGAGAGTTCCTCGTTAGGTTGAAAATGTCCCTGAAACATTGAGTTTTGGGATATATAAATTTGTTTCCTTTAAAAAAAGAAAAGGAGAGTGATCTTAAAAGTACCAGTCATCGCGAAATGGATGATCAGAGAGATGATGATGACGAAAAACCTATGGAAAAAGAAACGTCGACATCTTACGCGAGGGAAAATTCATGTTCACTTTCATTGGCTGACTTTTCTCTGGAGATCTTGGTAAAGATTATGTCTTCCTTGTCGCTTAAAGAAATACTTCGGCTCGAGACGACTAGCAGGAAGCTTTCACTCGCCACAACAATCCATTTGAGAACAAGGAAATCGGTTGATTTTACCGAAGGGAAATGGTACGGAGAAATGTCTTCATTAGTAACAGACGGTATATTTTCGCGCCTACTCCAACGATGTCCAGAGGTAAACAGTGTGCTCGGAATACATCCTACGTTGCTAACAAAACGTCAACAGAGACACGTAGACGTGTTAAGCGTTGATGGAATCACTGCCGCTTTGACTTTCTGTAAAAAGCTAAAATCAATCGGCACTTCTAACATACAAGTGTTGGACGCCATGTTGGCAATCAATCCAAATTTGGAAATTGCCGGAGGTTTCCGCAACAGAGGTGGAGAGTTCCCGATCTCTCCACACAGTTTTTTGTCGATTCCAAGCAGAGTGAAATTATCCCAGCTGGTACTAACAGGTGTAACAGTTCCATTGTTACCCACAATAGAGGGTTTGACGTTTCTTCAACTTCGATGGGTTAAGTTTACAGACCATGAACCTTTCAAAGACTTTTCATGTCCAAAATTAGAACACTTTATTATGAAAAACTGTATGGGTGTTGTTGAAACTGGTTCATTCAGTCCACGAGTTTGTATTCCCCTATTCCATGCTCTAGGTAGAGCTGCACATCTGGAACGCCTTGAATTAGTGCGTGTTCCTTTTCCAGGTGGTGTGTTTCGGCATGTTGTTGAGGAAAATTGGCGACTAGGCAGCTTTCGATACCTTACAAGAGTTTCACTTGCATCGTGCTATGATGCCATTGAGGTAGATCTTGGTTACCTGGTACTAGTATCTGCCTTTCGATTAGAAGAACTTTGCATTCAGCCTTCTTTGACCAAGGATGCAGTCTTCTCAGCATTGTTAATGGCTCATGCAGAGTATCCAAGATTTGAATGTCTTCACCTGGGTTATACTGATGACTTTCCTGAAAAAGGGAAATACACAGAAGAGGAGCTCCAACAGCATGGCTTAATGATTGAAAGAGAACAGACGCCTGCCTTGTCAGATAGAGGACTGAAACTAGCTTTGCAAGTATTTCCACAGGTGCGCTGTTTATCAGTCAGCAACTGTCCAAATTTGAGAAATGCTACACTTTGGCCTACGTCAAATTTAACATGCCTGACAATATCGGATTTGACATTATACAAGTGCAAGAATTTATCTTTGGAACATTTTTCTCAATTTATCCGTCAGCTGCCTGCCATTCAGTTCCTCAAAGTTCAGAATATGTTCAAGAGGGAGTCCTCTGGTGAACCTACTAGACCTGAAAGAACCAATTCTAATGATGATGACAATCTTCTTTTGTCATCACAAGTTCTAAAAAGTATTTTCTTGCAAAAGTGTGGAATAGTAAAATTGTCTGTTGAAGATTGCCCAAAACTGAGTTCTGTTTCATGCACCTCATGCAAAGAGCTATCAGAAGTAAAACTCAAGAACTGTTTATTAAATCGAGCAAAGTTTACATTGTGTCCAGCCCTTGAAATGAAAACTCTCCTGGATGAGTTGTACAATTTGCCCGTAATTGCTGGTCGAATAATCTCCTTGAATCCGACAGAATTGTTTGATCCAGCTGAACTGGAAAGACAGGTCTTTGAATCCATGGTTGACTATCCTTTTTGTGTCATCAAAGATGAAGGAAACCAAGGTTTTTGTTTACAGTTAGGCTGATACTGTTACTGTCACTGTCATCATTACTGGCTTTGCTGTTAAAACTACTGAGGATTTGGTTGTTACTTCACTTAGTGCAAATTATCTATCTGGTAATTTTCTTCCTGGAGTCTCCTTTGTGAGTAGGAGCCCTTTGGATCTGAAGTTATTCAAATAAATGGGATGACTGGAATAGGAGAAGCCCAGATTTATTGATAATTCACATTTGTAGAGATGTAAGCCGCACTGTTGTATGTTTTTTTTCTTTTATCTCAGATGACAACCCTAGGCATGATTCTTTTCAACTGCTCTTAAGGCAGTCCAGGAAGTACCATCAACTGATCAACAGCCTAGATCTCTGGCTAAATTAGGTTACCAAATGTATTAGCTAGTCCATGACAAGCCTTACCACAAATCATTATTACCAGTATATTGAATGAATATGAATACAACTACCAATACTACAAGTCATCACCTACAACAATAATCAACGTTTAAAGGCAAAGAATTATTTAGTCAAATAGATTGATATACACTGCTAACTCAATGACATCATAGTATCAATTTATTAAATAGATTCCTTTTTTCTGTGTTTCTCTTCAGTGATACGTGTGGATCACAGATGACTTCAAAATGTGGTAAGAACTAGAAGTGGCTGACAAGTTGCAGTGGAGTGTGTCACTGATGTTCTCACCTTATTTTGACATCTTCTGTGATCTATTACTGAACTTACCCATTGCAACATGGATTTTTTTTATTCCATATAATAAAGAACCAAAACAATTTTATTGGTGATGTCATCTATGCATTTGTCCTCCAACAGACCCTATTTGCCACCTTTGTCAGGGTGCTGTCACATGGATTGTTTTGGATAAAAAAGGAATTATCTTGCAGTGTGTGCAGTCTTGGTATTACTTGCTGGTTTTATTCTTTCATTTTAGTAACTGCAGTAATTGCAGTAATAAGTTCGCACTGCGTACGTGTGCCTAGTACGAAGTGAAATTAAGGTATTGTAAAATTATTACATGCCTGCAGCTGTATTGCACGCAAAATCTGTTTGGAAGGTATGCTGAATAGATATAAATGGGTGCATTGGTGTGCCAAAGTGCAGTAGTTTTCAAGGAAGTTGTTTGATAAACTATTCAACAATTAGACTCTTAGTTCCAAGTTTTCTGAGCAAATTGATCCAACGAACTGAAAAAAATACGAATATGGTATCGAGTCATGTCCCAGGGTGCAATGATCTTAGATCGTAAAGTATGGCCGAGAAAAATGCCGATCGGAAGGATTTTCGGGGCGCAAACCACCTCCGCGTGGACAACGGTTTAAATCGGAGTGAGCAGCCTTGACTTTGTCTTTTGTAATGAATAACAGTGATGGTAAAGCAAGCTTAAAACAGCAGAAATCGCCAGAAACTACGACGGACACAGGATGTGAGTAAGTTTTACTGATTTTACGCGTAAAATGTTCATATTTCGAAATATTTATCGTTGTAAATCGACCATATTTCGTTCTCCATACTATTCCTTATAAAGTGTTCAAATCTTGTAACTTAACACCGAGTCACACAACGCGTGAGGCTTTCATGAATTAATCGTTCGCTTTTTCTCGAGACGTGAGCTTGGGCCGCCAGTGGTATAAACTTATATGGCTGTGGACACAAAAATTAAGTGGTTTCTGGGCAATACAGGTATCTATGAAAATGGTATTATAATTAAATTAAATGTCAGACCGCCGATTTTTAGACTGAAGAAGTTACGAATATTCGTGTCCGTTTGCTAGATCCAGCAATAAATAAGGCTTATTGATGTATGTGTTGAGTGCCTAAAACTTTTGTCATAAGTCGCTCAAACACACAGGTACTATTCCGGCTGGCGTTAGTGAAAACACAGTGATTTACGAAAGTTAGCTCTCAGAAATCGGATGCGCCTCTTTGAAAATTCTTCAGTAATCAAAGAAACCTTCAATGATGAGACTACCTGAAAGCTTAAAAATGACGAAAGACAAATTTGTCGAGTCAATTCACTGCAACAGGGAATTTCCTTATCGCATGTTGCATAGTATGCGTTCCCATTTGTCGACCCGTTTAGCTACAACTGTGACGTCAGGGATTTCTACATCAAAATTCGCAGGAAACTACCAGCCTAGGACTTCAGGCCATGCGCATTGCATCTTGTCAGTAGCTGTGTCATGAGAATGACAAAGCGGAAGAACATAAAGGCATGACAATAGATTTAGAAAAATAGGCACGCTACGCATGCAAGAGTTATTTTATTGGATGATTGGCTTGAGATGGGTCACTTAGTTTACGTGTAGCTGTACCTTCCCCCCAAGGTGAAACGGGAGCAATGGAAACTGTACGCAGATCTGACACTAATCATGTTCGGCGACGTCACTTTTTTGCAAGAAAATATATAATGACTTTTTATTGATTTGTCCCTTTTGTTGATTCTTTCGTCAATTCTGATTGGCTAAATCTGGTGGTTTCTTTTCTTACCAACGAACTGGTGAACCAAGCAGTGCGCGCACTCTGATTGCGTTGCATCGTGGTCGTAAAACGAAAAACGAGTCATTTTGCATTCTGGCGCGGTCGAGTGAACATCTCTGGTGGCAGCGAGATAGCGTGAATAAACGTGGAATGTAATGGGGATTCACTCTCTGTTGCCGTTCCTTCGAAAGTTAAAAAGTGTTATTCCTCCGTGACAAATTCGTTATTAGGAGGCAACTGAAGAGATTCAGAAAGAATCGAAACTGCAGCCTTGCCCAAGAATCTATTCATTTAGCAGCAGTTACACTCACAGCCAATGGCTGTGTGAATAATATCAAATTCGCGAGTTATTTAACGGGGAATCGACCCTTGACGTGCAAACGCATTATATTACAAAGAGACAGCGACCTTCTAATACACGAACTACTTTTCATGTCATACACTTAAAGGCGTAAATACGGGATTCGCGAAAGGAGAAGCCTTACGCCTCCTAAGACCAAATTCGTCACGCTCAACGTTTAATAAGAACGTACAGAGTTTCAAATATGCTTAAAGAATAAAGAATACCGAGAATAAGGTTTTGAGAAACATATCTTTGGAGTTATTTTATGCGGGAGAGACAATATACCTGAAAACGAAAAAAATAGCGCGCACAAATGAAAATGTTACCTTTGGTAACACAATCTCATCCGGCTGTGCCAAACCTCAAGAAGACCAAGAACATACAGATGGAGAAATGACACCTAAAAACTAACCTTTATTATTACATCGCTAACAAAAGTCATTAAAAGATATCCAAATGACAGCTAAGCTTTCAGGTCAGAAGATTTAAAAGCGCAAGCGAATGGCAGGAGTCGCACAAGCCAATCGACACCTTTTAATTATCGACTACCTTCTAATTTCCAGCTTATCCGGCGTGTCGCCGTGTGCATTTAGACTGTTATCTATTGGCCAAGTGACTCCTTTCGTTGCTCTAATTCCTTCCTTCTTTCAATGATCAAGATAGAAGATTTACCATACAACACTCGCTATAAGTAAATTTCCTTTCAACTAGGTAAGTAGATTTACAGCACAGTTGAGTATACGATAGTAACGCTGTGTAACGCAACAATAGGCCTGTTCTTGGCCACAAGCGGTCTCAAACAATATCACTTAAAATGCGAGAAACGCATGTACCGTTTAAAAGCGTTTGAGAGCGTTTGATCAGAACTGTTGAAGAAGGATCGCGAGAAATACGTACAAAAAAATACTTTTACACATTCAGATTAAATCAAATCACATTTACCTTTGGTGAAACGAAAAAAGAACGGCCTAACCTTTGCAGAATGTTTAGTCAAAATCTGCCGATTTTTGCTGCTTTCACCGCCATATTGAAAATGAAGCTACCACAATGCAACGCAATCGGAGTGCGCACACCGAACAAAACGCTTTCATGGTCAACTTTTATATATATATATAACAACTTTATTTAAATAATAACATATAACATATTATTATTAAAAAAGGGTTATAGAAGGGAGGAACTTAATCCTCATTGTAAACTATACCCCAGATATAAAAATTTAATACTATGCAATATACATATACATACTGAAACATTTTACATACAGGCATATATCTATCTAAATATAAAATCTAAATAAAGAAGACATATCTAAGATAACTATTTTGTTTAAAATTATAACTAAATAATGTATAATACATAGAATAATTTAATTTTTAGTTATAGGCCTAGTTAAAAAATGTTGATTTAGGAGCTTTCTTAAAAACATTAATTGAGTCAAGTTCAACTACTGATGACGGTAAACTGTTCCATGTGTCGATATGTCTGTGCCAAAAAGAGTACTTAAAGATGTCTGTACGGCAAAATGGTTTATATAGTTTAAACTGATGACTTTTTCTTGATTGCCTGTTACTGAAGGATATGTAATTATTAGTGTTTACAGAAGAGTGTCCTTTAATGAACTTAAAAAGCTGAACCAAACTAAGAAACTCTCTGCGCTGAACTAGTGTCGCTAGTTTCAAGGATTTCAGTCGGTCTTCATACGGAGTGTCTTTATCAATGATCCATCTTGTAACGTTCCTTTGCACGCATTCAAGTTTTTCAATCAGATATGCTTGGTGAGGATTCCACGCTTGACAAGCGTACTCGAGTATTGGACGGATCATGGATCTATAACCATTAAATAGAGCCCTAGAGTGAGATCCAAATGTCCGCTTGAGTAAGCCCAATAATCTGTTCGATCTTGCAACAACAGAGAGCCGGTAATGCCAAAGTGTTCTAGTTTGAGTAGAAGACGGTCGTGAGGAACTGAGTCGAAGGCCTTTTCGAAGTCCAGAAATATTACATCGGTAGAGAGGCGTTTATCTAGTGCTTTGGCCCATTCATGGAAAAGGTGTATCAAAGGTGTATTAAGGCAACAGCGATCTACGACGAGCTTTTGGGATAGAGACATTTCAAGAGGAACGGTAGAGAGCCATAGATATTTTTTTCCAAGGTAACGATGTCTTTGTTTCGTTGCCAACTGGCTACGGAAAACCTTTAATATATCAAGCAGCGCCAGTGATAGATCGCCTCTCTTCTCAGTAGTAGGTCTTTATTTAAACTCGGTTAAGAATCTTCAGTTATACTAATAGTATTTTAATTACAATCATTTGTAAAAATTAAAATAACTATAAAAACTGATTTATAAGATTGCCGAGTGGGAATCGAATGTTTCAAGTGCGCGGTTGATTTCCTTCTTAAACTGCCCAATTGATCTAATCGCCCTAATATTCTCAGGAAGAGAATTCCACAGTAAGGCACCGCTCTAGCCAAAGCTACGTTTCAAATAGTCAGTACGCGGCTTGGGTAAGTTTAACTTAACAGTTTAACTTTAAGTCATAGTCTGTGTGTTGCTCACTGAATAAATCATGCAAGTACACTGGGGCTAACCCCATTGTCAGGAAGAGAATTCCACAGTAAGGCACCGCTATAGCCAAAGCTACGTTTCAAATAGTCAGTACGCGGCTTGGGTAAGTTTAACTTAACTTTAACTTTAAGTCATAGTCTGTGTGTTGCTCACAGAATAAATCATGCAAGTACACTGGGGCTAACCCGTTGAGGGATTTAAACATCATTATAGCTTTCTCTAGATGAAACTGGTCACTATATTTATTGTGCCGCCCGTTGAAGCTCTCACAGAAGATCAGGTGCATTATCTTAATGTACTAGGGCCAAGAGGACTGTCCGCCTATAATATTCGGTCTCTTTGCGAACAGTGCTGCGAAGCTTCTAAATTAAAGCTAGTTGTTTCTTGCA